AGTTATGCCAATGCGACAACGATTAGAATGGTTACTGACGGAAACAGTACTGGGAGAATTTTCAGGTCAGAGGCTTGGAACACCCTCAAAAAGAAAATTCCACTTCTCCAACTCCCAGTGGATGACATACCAAGAATTTACAACTTTGAGAAACACCTCACTGTAGTATTGAGTAATAAAAAGGATTTGAAGAAAGAAACGCTTACTCAGCATATAAAAGACCATACCATCACGTGGTATACTGATGCTTCCAAAACCAAAGCAGGGACAGGGATAGGAGTATTTGGGCCGAAAACTGAATACTCCGAACCAATGGGCACCTACCCCAGTATCCTTCAGGCAGAAATTTGTGCTATTGAAAGATGCGTACAATTTATCTTAGATAGGAACTATCGAAAACAGGAAATTGCCATCCTATCCGATAGTCAAGCAGCACTTAACGCGATCAACTCAGTAACCATCAATTCGAAGTTGGTCAAAGAATGCCTAGAGAAGCTCAACAAATTAGGCAAAGAAAATAAAGTCCTCCTACTCTGGGTGCTTGCTCACCAAGGGATAGAAGGCAATGAAAAAGCAAATGATCTAGCTAGAAAAGGAGCGAACACTCCACTAACTGGACCAGAACCGTTCTGTTTTCCAAACGGGAACCAACTGAAAGCGGAACTTAAGAATCTGGAAGACTCCATCCGTAACTTGGAATGGGTGTCCTCCAACGGTCTAAGACACTCGAAAAAGTTCCTTAGAACTTATGACCGAGAAAAATCAAAGGTTTTCCTTGATTTAAGTAAAAACAATCTTCGGATTGTCACGGGGTTTCTAACAGGACACTGTCTCCTCAACGAACACCTCAGTAGGCTGAAACTGAGAAACATCGGCGAATGCAGATTTTGTGGGGAAAATGGGGAAACACCAGAACACCTTATCACTGAGTGCGCCGAGACGATGACCATTCGTGCCATGAACCTTGGTACGTCTGATGTCGGGGATGGAGAGCTGGCCTCTGTGGAGCCGTCTCAGATACTGGCTTTTCTTAAAGCCCTGAGACTGTATGATGAGTTATAACTCGTTATAACTCAAGAAAGGGGAACACACAATAGATCTATAAGATCGCGGTGATTAACTCCCCTCCTAAACATTCTACATTCTAGTGTCAAAATTTCACCCTTTCGATTGGCCGCCCCCGCTTTAAGCCCCGGGATCGCGCTGGCAGACATGACTATTTCACAATGGCTACACAAAAGGATACTTCACACAAAAAATTAGCCATGTAACGATGATAAGGATTTTATGTAGCCAGCTCTCGGTCTAATTGTGCTGGGTTGGCGTTGGTTTCTATGTAATTTGACAAATAAATAAAGCTGTCTCTTTAGTTTTCAGTTTTGAGTCAATAGTTTTTAATTCTTTTTCCTGTCGATTGCTGATTGAATTGGAGCCAGAAATGGCTCAAAACGAAATAAGTAAATTACCAACAGATATTCAGGCTAAGACGACAAACGCCATATCCAAACTACTTCCATTTAAATCCCGAATAATTTATGAAAAGGAATACAAAAATTTTCAAAAATGGAAGCAATTAACAAACGTGCGAGAAGAAATAAAGTTTTTAACCTATCCTCGCTGTTAAAGTATCATTTAATCTACCCTTGCGGTTAAAGTACTATTTTATCTATTATTTTTGATAGATATAAGGCAATTTTAACAGTTGCTATGGAAAAAAATATATTTTACACTATAAATGTCATTACACTAATGTTATAATCTATAACGCATAGAGTTCATAACCTAACCTCCACTGGAAAGGTCGGAATCATGAAATTTCATGTAAAGATTATAATCAGAAATATGTTGGGTACCCTAGAAGATCAATATTAACTAAATTTAAAAAAACATAATATGGCTCAGATAGGATATATGGTAGACCGGATAAATCTTGCGTTGCTGAACATATTATTGTTAATAAAGAACATTGTATAGATATTAATTATTTAAAATTAATTAAACAAGTCTCAAAGTACAGGCAATTAGATGCATATGAGAGCGTCAAAATTAAAAAATGTAAAGATAGTATGAACAGAGACAACGGCCCTATTCCTTCCAGTTCTCTGTTCCTACTGCTCAAGTTTCGGTAATGAATTATTACCCTCGGTTGGCTTTGACCCGCTTGGCTAGTTTTTGACACGCCTACTAGGAGCTAACTGAGCGAGTATATACATAAACGCTTAATTTGTAGATATTAGTTTAGTTTTAATTATCCGCTGGTGATGCTAAAATTGTTAGCGAAAGGCGCGTCCAGTTTAAAAGTAAAAGTGTTTTGGTGTAATGTGGTGATTTAGTGTTTGATTTTGCTGTGTAACACCAAAGCTAGGAGAGGTGGAGTGGCCGGCCGTAGCGCAACCAGTAGTGTGTCGATCTGCGGTGCGAGAGATGGGATGGTACTGGGTTCGATCCTCAGCCAGTATGGGCGCTTTATTTATTTAAATAAAAATACTTATTTATCTAAATAGAGCGACCAGCGAGCCGCCACCTCAAGGAATAGCAAACCACCTTGAGTATATTTGTCTTGTACAGCTTCTCAAATAGTGCCGTTCGGATTCGGCGATAAACCGTAGGTCCTGTGGACTTGTGAAACACTGATAACACACATCACAGGTACATGCGAGAGGTAGTCGACGCTCTGTATAGATTATGACAATGTAAGAAGAACACCAAAGGTTCCGACCCCCTACTGTAATTTCTAGATCCTAATGATCCTACATCCTAATCACCCACAAATTCGGGACACCCTGTATAGTTAAATCCGCAATAAAATCCAAATTCGGATACTGAAATCATGGCACCCCTCCCCTAATCAACATGAAGGAGCAATGCATTTCATATAATAACAATTTGTACTATCTTGCCTTGGAACAAAAACACGACGAAGTTTTCAAACGGTAACCCGTCCAAACACTCGCCTCCTCTAACGTCGCTTTCTTCAATGATCGAATGGAAACCTTCGTGTCGACATAGCTGAACTGCTACCCTTTTTCCCTACTCGTCTTTCTTCCATTCTCAATTCCCATAACATGACTTTCCGTACTTGTCTATTGATTTAATAGAAAAATAACAAAATAAGGAACTGGCTACCTATATAAAAACACTCTGGGGTGAATAGCGTGTCAAACTAAAATAAGCTCACAACAAATACCAAACAAACCGTGAACTGACAAGATTAATGAGAATACGGCATACAAAACAGGAAGCGATAGTGAACGTAGAATATTTTACCACGTCAATTACTTGATGACATTCTATATAGGGTGTACAAAATGTATTATTATTATTACTATAATATATCTACAGGGTAACACACTGCTCCGAAAAAGTTCCATATGGTTTGTTATTTAAACGTTTTGGACAAGCCTTAAAATTATAATATTTTTGTTGCTAAAAAGGCTGATTCAAAGTTACTTTTATACTAATATTTTAGATTTTTTAAACAATATGACAGTTATGTTCGTAAATGAAACCAAATATTTTGTCCTGTTTTGTTTATTCTAGATACTACTCTAATATATCAGTAGGTATAAGTAATGAGGTCAGTATCGTGGTAAGTTTTGGAGAGACAGGGTGTAGAAGTTTCATTTTTATTTCGATTTTTCCCAAATAATTTATGTAGTAACGTCAATATTTGGATGAGAAATTTGATTTTAATGTCAATATGACTCCTACTTGTAGAGGGCGCCACCTACATATTTTTTAACTGGTTTGATGAATAATAACTTTTTGTCGGTACCTGTATAAAACTACTGAGTAAAAAAATATACATTTACGACGTTTTTTACTTAAAAAAAGTCTCTGGGTAAAAATCGCTACCACTAATGATTCTCGAGATATTTGGAATCAAAATTATCAATACCTGTCATCATTGACATAGATTAAACATGTTGACTATATAAATACCGTATGATCGAATAAAAATGGCGTCAGCGATGGCTATGAAATAAAGATCGCTGTAATTTTATATGTAAAATTATATGGGAAATGTCATCGATAGTCGTTTCATAGCCATCGCTGACGCCGTTTTTATTCGATCATACTGTAGTTATTAGACTGAAATCATACATTTTAATGTTTTTGTGCCAAAAGTTCAACAGAAACTGTTTTCGTCATTTTTACGCAGAAAAATTTATGATTAATATAAAAAAAATAAAAATTTCCCAAATTTATTATTTCACCCAAGTAACTATCTATTTTTTTTCTGTATAGCCTATTTCCGTTCTAAATATTTTCATAACGGTTGCTCGTAGCGATTTTTACCATTTTTTACGTAAAAAAAGTCACGCAAATTTAATTTTTTTCACTCAGTAGTTTTATACAGGTACGGACGAAAAGTTATAACTCTTTAAAACATTTAAAACACATATAGGTGGCGCCCCTTACAAATATGACGCATATTGACATCAAAATCAAATTTCTCATGAAAAAAACTCCCAGACACCAATTTTTCATCCAAATATTGACGTTACCTACTTCAGAAATTATTTGAAAAAAATCGAAATAAAAATGAAACTTCTACACCCTGTATCTCCAAAATTAAGCATTTTTAGGACATACATTTATAAGAACTTTTTTACTTGTTATCTGTAGAATATGTTGCCGAAGTTTCCGGAATACAGTTCGGACCACCCTGTATATTAATATTGATACTAACCTTCAAATAACAAATAACTGTCATAATATACAAACAGGTTCTCACTTTGGTTCTGATTATCCTGCGTATATTTTATAATTCTGAATAAAATTTTTAGTAAGAACCCTGCGTTTCTCTTTAGATATACCATACGACAAAAAAACTGTGTCAGAGTTGGCTTGGAATGAAGCTGTCATTTTATATGTAAAATTATGTTGTGAACGTTATTTCCAAGTCAGTTTGATGCCTTTTTTCATACGATACTACATTAATATAAAAATTAACGATCTTTCATTATGATTTTTTTAATTCAATAAAACACTACTTATTATCATCAAAGTATCTTTATTTTTGTGATAACTCTATGCATATTATAATCCCATAGTCAATAACTATTTAACTGTATCTAAAGATATCCTAGACAAAAAGTGTCATCTGTTGTCTCCAGAATCAATAAAATAATTTACACAAAATAATGATATAAATTAATACACCCAACAAACAATGATACAAATGAAATAATGCATATTTATATGATTTACAGCAAATGTATTTCAATTAATTTAAAATATAGTACCATTTATTAATGTATCTTTATACATTTTTTCAAATATAATCAAAGATCAATCGTTTTTTAAAGCAAAGCAACTAAAAAACTTTGAACTGGTCAATTGGTAGGACACTAAATATTTCATTAAATAATCGTATTTATTAAAACAAAAAAAAAGTTTTAGTGTCGTCTTTTTCGCGAATTTTTGCGATCTCTTGAAGAGTCTGAACTGGAGCTACTGCTAGTACTGCTGCTTCGACGCCTGGCACGTCCTTTAGACCTTGACCTTGATCTACCTCTCTTACGCCTATAACAACAAAGAATATCATAGTCAGATAAATTAGTTTTGTGTTTATACATGTTAAAACATACAGACAGATATTAAATTGGAGGTTTTAAAGGACATGTTTGAAAAAGTGTACTGATAATGCTGTTTTAATATAAATATTATTTTCAATTTAATTCTGTAATCTGTACATTTTCTGTTTCCTCAATAGCCTGCACATTTTGTGGAACACAACCGAAAATACACACTTTTATGCAAATGCCTAATAATGTTAACGCTTAAATTTAATTAAGAAGAGAAAATATTTTGAACCTAACCAACAATTTGTATTTATAGTGGTTTACAGACAGTAATTTTGTTAAATTGTACGAATATTCTCGTTGATTATCGGTTTGAACTAAATATGTACAGTGTCCTCCAATGAAAATGCGAGTTACTAACTCTAATAATTCTAATTCTAAGCTGGCAACTGAGCTAGATACTAGGGAATGCAATCCCGCACCAAAATCTGAATCCCGCAAACCCGCGGGATTAAAGCAATCAATCTCGCGGATCCGCAAAATTGCGGGACTGTAAACAATAGTCATACATTTGGTCCTAAATGGTACAAAAGACATTGTACATTTTGCATAGGCCCACAATATATTGATATAGCGTGTATCTCAAAACTAGCTGTAGAGAAATTTGGACCGATGTGTACAGAGTGTTCAAAAAATATATTTATTATTAAATAAACTTAAATTTCATTATAATTTATCTACTTATTTTATAAATAAAAATATTATTCTGATGTTGAGGTTTTTTTTAACTTGTGTTAGTTATCTGCTTTTAGATACACTCTATTACAATAATTTTTTGGCATATGCAGAATGTACAAAGCTTTGTGTACCATTTAGGACAATACTAGGGCATTCAATCCCGGGATCCCGTTTCCCGGGATCCCGGACATTTTTTCAATCCCGGAATCCCGGGATTGTCTTTTCTTTAATCCCGGGATTTTCGAGATTCATCATTACATTTTTTCCTTAATTTAAATCGTACACAAGTCTTTCATGATAGTACAATATGCGCTTATAAACAACCCTGAATGTTTAATCAAGTTTGAAGATGATGAAGATCTAGTTTGAGTGATAATACTCTTGATCGGCTTGTTTTTTTAAGAAATTTTTTCAAAAACCAAAAAAACCAAATTTAGATCCTCATCTTTGTTACTGCATAAGTTGTTATTTTAGTATCTTAGTAATCCTGTGTTATGCTGTATTGGTTATGTAAATTAAATAAAAAATGTATATTTTAGTTCCTTTTATGTTTTTTCTTGTTAAATAAACTTATATGTTATGTTGTTTTGTAATGGGGATGACGTTTAATTTATGTTACTGTTTTTTTTGTTCAATAAAAATTTGTAAAGAAAGAAAATATAATATAATTCCAACGTAATTAATTTTTTCGTGAATCCCGGGACCAATCCCGGGATCCCGGGATCGAAAAATTATAATCCCGAAATCCCGGGATTGAAAATTTCTTTCGGGATTGAATGCCCTAGACAATACGTATGACTAAAAATGCATATTTTCCGAAAAAATATCGTATTTTCCTTAAAACAAAAAAAAAATAAAAAACTGATCAAATTGTTTTTTGTAATTTCAATACAGATTAGTCGTACTTGGTAAAAATTTCGATTTTTAAAAATTGTAAATTTGCGGTAAAAAAGATTCTTAACCAAATTTTCACACTCTTATAAAACACCCTGTTTACGAGAATTCACTAAATATATTTTCGAAAACCAAATAGCATCTTAATCACAATAGATGCATCTAAAACCTGGTCCAAACCGCAACCCAAAATCTTTTTTAGTTCAAGAGATATTCAACTTTAAATTTACACTAAAATTTTGCTTGTCCCGATAATTATGTCCGGCAGTTTATTTGACGAAATTATCCACAAGTACTAATTAACCGTTTTTCTTCACTTACGCACATACGCCACAAAGAGAAAGAAATCTAACAACTAACCTGTTTGTTTCACTTATTTTTAATGGCCAAGCCGTAAGAGGAATGAAGCGGTTTGATCTTGATTGAGATCGATTCGGTTACCCAGTAGTAACGTGTCGATCCCGCAGATCCCGCACGGTAAATCCCGCAACTTTGATCCCACGAAATCTCAGAGGGATCCCGCATTTGCGGGATTGCATTCCCTACTAGATACTTTACCTAGACCGTTATTCAGAAGCTACAAACCTATCGATTAAAATATGCATGAAAATAGGTAGATCTACCCCAAATAAAGTAGCTGTGGCAACACTGCCGTTGTGCCGTTACCACTTTTCCTGACGCTAGCTCGTGTGTCACGGCCTTAAATTCTTACTCCCAACACGCGTAAAGACGTTTCACTTCAATAATGTTTTTATAAGTAAAAAAAAATAATTTACCTGTCATTTCTGTTTCTGGGGCGATGGTCGCTGTCGCTTGATGACGAGGAAGAACTAGAACTCCTCTTCTTTTTCTTGGTTGGACCTTTCTGATCCAACTCTTGCAACACTTTCATCGTTTTCATTAGTTTCTCTTTTTCTATTGCTTCTCTTTTTGCCTTCTTTGCTCTTTCCAACATTTCCTGTTCTTCTTTCAACTTACGTTGCTTCTCTTCCAAAAATTTCTATAGAAATAATGTAGTGAACATATAAAAATAATATATCCACGTATAGAAATTACAAAACTTACTTGTTCTTCTTCTTTTTTCTTCTTGAGCTCCAGCAATTCCATTTTCTTTCTCAGGATCAGAAGTTTTTTATACTTAGCTTCAGCGTCGTGTTCGCCCCGATCTCTCTTTTTAGGACTTTTTTCGCTGCTTTTTGGCGTTTTCCCTCTAGAACGGGACCTGGATTTCCTTCTGCGTCTTTCTTCACTTCTAGACGAATTATTAATCAAAATAGAAAATAAAATTGAATGACAGAATAAATGTAGGTATACTCTGTCAGCAAGTTAGAGAATATTTCGACAGATGACATTCAAAAAATGATAGTCAATATAACTGTCATAGACAAATATAACTGTCACTGTCAGGGATCCTCTTGTTGGACAGACTATATCAAATATTGAATCGTGACTGTATGAGTATGACAGACCTACTAGAGTCACCGAGTCTCTAAGTATCCGTATCCCAGTCGTCTAGTCTCCGGGATTAGAGTATCCCCGTGTGAGTAGTGCCTTACATTACAATTCTAGTCCTGTGTACGTCGCTTCCATAGACGGTTAGGTATTCCGTCTTAATTCAGTTCAGATAAAAGGTCCGTTTAAAGGCTGATTCTCGCTATACCTTCCGTCTCCATTCCATATCCGTTCCGTATTTTTATTGTATTGACGCTTTTTTTTTATCATTTAAATGCTTTTTCAAAATGCCTTTATTATTTAAAGTAGTTGAAGTTGTTGGCATTTTAAAAAAGCAATCAAAAGATAAAAAACGCTGCTAAGACTATCAAAATGTTGATCTAATAACAATTTGACGTTTATACTATTACGTCAAAAGCAACTTTTTTCCAAAGCCTACCATGACTTCACTGAATCATCGTTTCTTGTTCACTATTATTAATATCTTCATTATTAGATATTAATACATCTGGTATTATGTCGTCGATTTTAAAATAAACTATAACTGTTTCTATTATATTTTAGGTTAGAATGGGCATAATCAAGAGGGCTACTGATACCGTGTTGTAAAAATAAGGCAATTAAGGGCTTATTTTTTGGTATTTATTATAATTTTGCTAATATCTTCGGTTTGAAAGAAGATATCAAGATGCGGTTTTCGCTGACTTTTTAAGTTTATACTACTCTTTACTATCATCAGCTAAAATTACATATACTATTGCATTTATTTTTTTTTTGAAAAAACGCGCAATGTTTGTTAAATTATAAGAAAACGCTCCCTAGCGTCTACGTTCAAAAGCTTATTATTATTGTTTATACGGTACAATATAGAGTAAGAAACGCTCTTTTAAACGAGCCCTCGCTCGTTAGATTCCGATCATCCAGTCCAGAGTTATTAATATTCAAATAAAAATAGATCTAACTTTCCCCCACCACTTTATTTTGATAGATAGGGGAAAATGGCTCTAACAAAAAATATTCAAAATTTACTGAGGATTATGAAGCTGTTACTTATAGTACACCTTATCTAGGCAAAATTGTGTAAAAACTCCATTTTCTTATTTTTTGTTGCAGTTGCGCCCCCTAGCGGTCGTTCTACAAACTTGAAAATAATTTCCAGCAATTTCCCATAGCCTCTTTAGTTATAAATATTTTTTTCCGCAACCGCCACGGCTAATACTTTCCGAGATACAGCCGAGAGCTATTCTTAGTGGGACACTCTGTACAATTTATATCATTACGAAAGTTTTATTTTAAAAATTTGTATCATTTGAAAAAGGTAATAGATTTAATTAAGAGGTGAAAGAATGAATAAATATCAGCAAAATTTTAACAGAGCTGGTAGAAATGTACGAACTTGACAACGCTCTTTCCGATACGCTTCAGTCCGTCCGCCAAAAAAGTATGGAAGGAAACGGAAGGGAAACGGAAGGGAGCTGATATGGTAGGTATAGTGAGAATCAACCTTTATTCGTCGACCCACGGTTTTTCTTGATACATTTCTACTAAAACGTTATGTGCAGACAAAGCTTTAACCAATAAAAGCGCGAGGTGTTTGCGCAATGGCTTTTACCAGAAAACTCCCATTATTTTGGTAAGTATAAATTAAATCTGAAAGAAGTATAGCATGTCTGTTCTTTAATACCAACCTTTGCTCGTTGGTACTTGTTTTCCTCTCCCTGCCTCTAGATTCCGATCTACGTCTTCTGTCGTCCCTCCGCCTGCTGCTTTGATCGTCTCTGTTTTCCTTTTTCACTACCTGAATACGACTGCGCGTTGTATTTTCAACAGGACGTCTGTCATTGCGATCAGGTCTTCTGTTATTGCGATCGTTCATTCTTTGCGCGTTCCTGAAGTTTTGAAAATCGCTAAAAAGAAAAATAAAAATAAAAAGAGATTAAAAAGCCCCAATTTGGACATTTAATTCAAATGAATTCTTTGTTTTAAGGAATACTAATAATTTTAATTTTCTCTCAAACTTACAATAAGCCTATTATTTGTTTTGCTTCGCCCTCTTATAGCTAGTAGTGATGGGTTGTTATTTAACTATCTGTTATTTTATAACAATTATTTAGAAATAACATAACGCAACCGTTACTACTTCTAAAAAATAACAGATATAAAATAACAACACGTAGAGATCGGCCGCTCGTGAAACGAAAAACGAAGTCGGCGCTCTGCACCGCCACGAAATTCTATGCTGCTCGAAGCAATTCCAAAAAACAACTAGTATGGATGGAAAACATGTTATTTCGTCAACCATCGATACAGGCGGCGAGACAACGGACAACGGCTACGGTGAACGTAGCTGCTTCGGTCGACGCCGTCGGTGGTCGTATTGGGTTTGCAACAGCTTAAAAATAATAGGATATAAAAGAAGCAGGTTTTTTGAAACAGTTGCGGGCATAACACCTGGCGGTCGAGATAACAGGAGTGGGAAAGGAACGCTGCTGCATCGGTCGATTGTCGATGGAGGCTCGCAACGGGTTGGAGAAGCAGTCATTTTAGAATACAACCTGTTACGAGCATAACAGGGCGGCGGTCGAGATAATCGGAGTGGGAAAGGAACGCTGGCTGCATCGGTCGATTGTCGATGGAGGTTCGAAACAGGTTGGAGAATAACGCATCAGTTGTTTTAAATACATTGTTTTTCAACCTGTTACGAGCATAACGGGCGGAGGTCGAGATATTATGGCGCTGTATGTTTCAGTACGTTATTAAATTTTAATTTATTTAGGTATTTATCTGAAAAATTTTCAGAATAATATTTTAAGATTTTTTAAAAATGTATACAGGGTGTTTTGAAAAATCTGGTCATTGATTAATCACGATCCTGCTTAAAGCCCTTGACGTAAAAAGCTGATTTTTGGAAAACGGACTGACTTTAGGGTGTAGAGGTTCGATAAGAAGGGATTTTTCGAAACTCGAATTCTAAGGGGGTGAAACCACCCTCAAATATTAGAATATTTTTTATTTAAAAACCGGTGAGTTTTTCAGGAAAACTCTTAAACACGTATATTTTATTTCGTTGTTTTACATATTTTAAGATTTTTTAAAAATATATACAGGGTGTTTCATAAAATATGACCATTGAGTAATCACGATTCTGCTTAAACTGCTTGACGTTTAAAGCTGATTTTTGGCAAACGGATTGACTGTGGGGTTGAGGTTCGATAAGGAGGGATTTCTCGAATCTCAAATTCCAAGAGGGTGAAAACGCCCCTCAATTATTACAATATTTGTTATTTAAACAACGGTTAGTCTTTCGGGAAAACGCTTGGACACGCATAAGTTATTTTGTTTTTTTACATATTTTGAAATTTTTTAAAAAATCATACAGGGTGCTCCAAAAAGTTGAGTAATTGATTAACCACGATTCTGCTTAAACTGCTCGACGTTTAAAGCTTATTTTTGGCAAATGTGAGAAAATTTTATCCAGTTTGTATGTTAATAGAAATTTTTGCTTTGCTTTATCATCACCATTACAAATTATTAATTCGACGAACGAAGTCGCGGGTACACGCTAGTTTAAGTGCAAAATTAATTCGAACTCTAGTGTATAGTTGGTTTACTTATGAAGAATATACTACACATTTTCTTATATTGCTATTTTTTGACCGCAAATGGTAAAATTATAACCACAGTTTAAAGAATATAAAATATATAAATTTTATATATTTTATATTATTTAAACTGTGGTTATTGAATTATATATATTTTATATTCTTTAAACTGTGTTATAACTAAGAGCTTCTCGCCCGTCGAGTGAGACGCACCCTGTATACTGCTACGCAATTCAGGATCTACGTGGATCGAGGGGCAAGGTGTAGGTAGTTCGGAATGTATACGTATAGACGAGTGGCGGAATTTTGGCTTTTTTATATCGCAATTTGTAAACAGCGCTTATTTGTAAACAACCACCGTTTTTAGAGAGGTATTTTAGATAACAATCGATATTTAGAACTGTTTTGACACCCTGGAAATACTACCACCGAACATGTCATTGTTGCAACTTGCAACTGCGTTAATACGCCTGGCGGTGACCGCCTCATACTCTTTCAGATATTTAGCAATAAAATAAAGAAACCTGTTATTTTTAAGCTGTTATTTTAAGCTGTTTTTTATAAATAACTATAACAGTTTCAACTATTATCTAAAAATAACAGTTTTGCCCATCACTAATAGCTAGCTCACTTAATAAAAATGTAAGTAAGGAGAGACAAACAATATTTTTATATTCATACACTAAAGACGGAAGCTACATCATAGCAACCCATTCTTGTCAATTTTTTCCAACTTTTTTTGAACAGTTTTTTTCAGTTATGTGATTCTATTATTTTTTATTATTTCTGATTTATTCTTAAGTTGGTTGCAATGTATAAATCTAAAAAGACATGGTGTCAAGACTTCAATTACAGAGATACTAACGTGGATCTTAGAAAGGATCTTCTAAAACTGTTACTTGTGCAGCGTGCGATAATTTCCAGATTAAAAACAAATAGTAACGAAACCACTTTTCACTAGTAAGCAACTATAAGCAATACCAAATAAACTTTTAGTTTCGCCATCGAGGGCGCGACTATTAAATTAATTGTGTTGCCAACCATGAACATATTCGGCGCCGGGCTGACTAACCGGAATTTAAATTTTCCGCTGACGATTCAGGTGGTAGCTCTGCTGTAAAAAATGTGAAGTTGCCAAATTTATTTAATTATTTCATGACATTTTGATTTGTTTTGACAGTTTAGTCAAGTTAGTAGACAAGTTTTTGTGATTTAAGCAAATTGTATTGTGACATTTTAAGCTTAAAATGTTGTACTAGCAAAGGTTGGTCTGCTAGCCTTGCAGTCGAAAATTGTGTACAAGATGTGGAAAACGATAATAATGATTCTTGATGTCCCTTTAGTGCTGTTAAGGAGGTGAGTTTCGTTTATGTAAATGATAACGGTTTATATATTTATAATTAATTCATTTTGGTTTCCTAAAATATTTTGATTAAAATAAAATAAGTAAAAGTGGGCAACGCTGTGCCGGTCAAGCTTAATCATGTGACTAAAAGTTTATTTGGTATTATCGAGATATAACATATGTTATGCATTATCGGATTTATTACTATCAAAAAAAAATATTTATAGTTATAAAAATAATTATTAGCATTTACTGACTCAATGCAATACAAAACCAACAATTTTAACCTTTGAATAAGAAGACTAAGGAAGGAACATTAATGCTATCCAAGTATTCATGCATGGTGGGCGGAAAAAGGACTCTAGGGTGGGGATCCTTGACAGTTCTGTTTGACGATTCATTTCACACATTTGAATTTGATTTGAAATTTTGTGGATTTGTCAGTCTTTACGGAGCTTATTTTATGTTATTTATTATTTATTCTACTACTGATAGTTGTATAAAGGTAGTAAATCTAGATGGAAATTGTGGCAGAACTTAAATTAACAGTGACACTATCACGATTTATCGAAAAAGACTCTAAAATAGTTGGTTGTGTAGCGTGCGGTAGATCTCGGCAAAAATCGAGTGAAATAATGGAACAACTTTTCGCTAGTAAGTGACTATATAATACCGTGCTGGCAACTGTTACTTTTGGGTCGGCATTTACATGTGTGGAAGTAAATCGCATAGGGATCTTATTAAGTCGGAGTGAGAGAAATGCGACCGACCGACGCGACGCGCGACGGTGTGCTGTTGCGGCGTTGCCGATACGCCTTTCCCTATCAAGTAAAGTAAACTCTTAAAAAACTCAACTTTTTAACACATAACAGGCCATAACTCAAGAACCACTTTAGATATTGAAACTTTTTTTTATTTTCAAGATCGGATATTTTACAATATGCTTACATAAGAAAAATTCGATAAGGTTGTTTTTTCCATTCAAAAATTGTAAACAATCCATCCATTTACTTTTAGAGCATAGCAATTTTCAGCAGTCGTGTAATTTTTTTATTGATAAAGATTTTCACATACTGTCTACAAAAAAAATACAACAGAAATATTAACAAAGTTCTTGAAAAAATTACAATCTATTATTTCTAATAGATTTCGATATATCGATTTTTGAATTAATAGCGCGACCACTATCGAATACCCACTCAATTCCACTTATTTTTACCAAAAATGCAAGTGTTTCTAGCTTGCACTTAAAAAAATTCAAGCTATAGGGAAAATTACAACAACTCGTTAATAAACAAACAAATTAAGTATCACGAGACATAATTAAATCGTGAAGCTGAACGCATGACGTACACTTTTCCCTAGAACTTTAAGTAGGTACTGACAGAGGTATTGATTGGGTCGACCGGTCAACTACGATAAATCTGCTATATCCCCTTCCACGTCTCTTAGCGATGTGCACAGTTTCTCGGTTTATTTCATACGTTTGGCAACGTGTTTACTGTCCTCCCTTTGTTCAGTACATTATAAACGCCATTGTACTCTTCTTACATACGTAAATCTCGACCCAAGACTAACCTTTGCCAGCCCTTAGTATACATACATGTAGTAAACCGATCATTTATGAAATTCACTTAAATTAACTAATTATATATTTTTTCTTGCATTTTTGCTTTTATTTACTACTTGTCAAAGATTAGATGTCAAAGAATTTAGATATGTCAATTTGACTTATCTGCTTCAGTAGCGTATCGGATGTTTATGGTTATAAATAATTATTATAAGTTTCTATTTTTATTAGAATTTTATATTTTTATAACAATTTTAATAACTACCAACATTTATTCACAACGTAAAATAAAAAAAAATTATTGAGTCTACCCCACGTCTACCCTATATCATAGTTTTACATTTTTTAAATAAAATTAAAACGGCACTGATAAACCGGAATTTAAGTCGGCCATATTTGAGGCTCATCGCGGTGTACCTAAGATTTTTGAGATGCTCCTTCCTTAGTCTTCTTATTCAAAGATTTTAACCCTACTTTATATTCTAACACCCTTTAAAAAATAATGGAACGTCACTAATAAACTGGAATTAGCATCAGCCATATTAAAACCCCTTTGGGATCTACAAATTTTGTTGATATGATCGTTCTTTAGCGTTTTATTCAACTCTATTAAATATGAAGTAGTGATTTAAAATTGAAATGTGTTATTTCTTACCGTCCATCTCTGTTTTGTGGCTTCTCCACTTCAAACTTGTTTCTGCCGCGTCTGTCTCTAAAATCGCCAGACCTGTTTCTATGTACTTCATGTTTCTGACCTTCTGGCTGGCCCATTCTGAACCGTCGACCATTGGCCTGCAAACAAATTTGTAATAATGCTTAAAATATCCAAGTATTTATTTAATTTTAAACGCCCGGACATTTGAACTGATAAACCTATCAACTTAAAATAATTATGAATAGAAATTAATTTCATAACTACTAAAGAGAATTTCAGGCTAGTACCAAAAGTAAAGCTCGATTATTGAAATCGCTCGAAAAAAATTAATCATTATTTAACAACAAAATTCAAGCGATGTTGGTTATAGGTTATGACGGCTTGATCATAGGTCTTTATCCAGCCCTTAAAACGTCATCATTTGACATATTATTACCGATTATACGAATGCCTGTGGAATCCCACACATATTGATTATAAAAACAAACTAAAAAAATTAGACGCATGGAACCAGATAAGTAAAGAATTAAAATGTGAACTATACGTAACAGCGAACAACGAAAAAGTACTTCAAACAAAATCACCGCATGTGTACGGATTTGGTCGAACGTATGCGTTCGGTAAATAGACAAACCTTACTGTACAAAACAAAAGTACCCAAGATATACAAAACAGATGTAAATAGAAAAATGCTAGGTTGTCACTATTACAAAAGTTTAACAGAGGCCCTATATGATTATTATATTATAATGATTGTAGTTGAAGTTGGCTTGGAAATGACGATCAATGACATTCCCCATATAATTTTACATATGTAATGACAGCGATTTCATAGCCCTCGCTGACGCCCTTTTTTTCGATCATATTATATTTTTAGCCACACTTTTTCATTTAAAGGTATTCTAAAGTATATTTAAACATAAGGAATAACAGATAAACAAGAAGAATTAGGTTTAAATTAAAAATCTGTCTGTGTTTATATCAACTAAACTCACCTCTTTGGCCAACATTTCCGCCATTTGCTGTTGCTGCTGCTGTTTCTTAGCATAACCACTAAACACAATTTCTCCATTTGGTGGATCCTCTCCTACCTTAATCTGCACGCCAAGAGCCAACGCTAATATATCGGACCTTTCATTAACTACTTGCGATTCTTCCTCTTTGTTTCTCTCATCTACAGGTTCGGGCAGATCCGGGCCTGTAATATTTTCAACTGTATCAAAACTTATTAAGAGCATGTTTAGTAAAGCGTACCTTTAAACTCTTTGTATGCTCCAGGAAGTGGATACTGTACCAAACTCGGTACTTGCTTCTTGGGTAGTTGTTCGTCGTCAGACTGGTTTTCTTCGTAATCCAGAGCGTTGTAATCCACGGCTTTCTGTGATCTTCTTGGAGGCGAAGTGGGAGGGGTTCCAGAGGAAAGTTGACGATATCTTTTGTGGACCTCTGAAAACAATCGAAAACGCAGTATTTGTCAAATATTCATTAAAGTTGATATTAAAAAAGAAGAGAAGAGAAGAGAAGAGAAGAGAAGAGAAGAGAAGAGAAGAGAAGAGAAGAGAAGAGAAGAGAAGAGAAGAGAAGAGAAGAGAAGAGAAGAGAAGAGAAGAGAAGAGAAGAGAAGAGAAGAGAAGAGAAGAGAAGAGAAGAGAAGAGAAGAGAAGAGAAGAGAGGAGAGAAGAGAAGAGAAGAGAAGAGAAGAGAAGAGAAGAGAAGAGAAGAGAAGAGAAGAGAAGAGAAGAGAAGAGAAGAGAAGAGAAGAGAAGAGAAGAGAAGAGAAGAGAAGAGAGAAGAGAAGAGAAGAGAAGAGAAGAGAAGAGAAGAGAAGAGAAGAGAAGAGAAGAGAAAGAGAAGAGAAGAGAAGAGAAGAGAAGAGAAGAGAAGAGAAGAGAAGAGAAGAGAAGAGAAGAGAAGAGAAGAGAAGAGAAGAGAAGAGAAGAGAAGAGAAGAGAAGAGAAGAGAAGAGAAGAGAAGAGATAAAATTACCGGTAATTTATAAATCGGTAATATTACGTAATATGTATATTACGTATTGGTAATTTATAAAAAAATTATAATTTTTGTTAATATTTTTTTTAGATTAATAAAGTAAACTGTAAAAATATTAAAAAAAGTAAAGTACGCTTTTAAGCTAGTCAAAGTCAGAGTGGCGTATGTTATAGTATGTAATAGAGTGGAAAATATGGTAAATCATCCTCAATCTTGTCATATTCTTCTTTCTCTTTGGTTAATTGGGTCAAGTCTATCACTTCGAAATCGATATCTCCTTTTTCCGTTTATTTATCAGCAGGACTTACCATTCTTGGATGTTCTTCTCCATTTAGTAAGTTGTAATTATGAGCTGGAAATAGATAGTGATAGTAGATATTGCTTCAAAAAAGCAGGTAAAAACTTTTGAACATCAGAAATATCTATGCTATCATAACTGGGCTATCATCAACTGCTAAGCTTTTTAATGAGTGCTTAGTGTCCAAAAAGCTTTTTCGACGCGAAACAAAGCAGCTCTATCTTGTTTTCCACAAACAAAAGAGTAGAACGGGCGATATTTCCAATGTTACCAACCTTGCGGTAATATTACGTAATATTACCAAAATTACCGGTAATATTACCGCGGTAACATTACCCTTTACATCACTACTCATAATGGGTTTGTTTATAAAGTAATTACAAAATAGGCAGATAACATCTATTTTCCACAAATTATTTTTAAAATTGATATTAAAAATGTTTATTCCAGCATGCCTGTAATTTTCTCAAATAATCCTAATATAGAACATACCAAAAAAACACAAGGTAACCACAAATTCAAAAAAAATTAAAGTTTTAACAACTGGTACATTTGAACTACTTAATTTTTGACACTCTTACCTGAATGCATTGTTTTTCTTTCCTCCCTTTGCCTCCTTTCAGCTTCGATTTTCTCGAAATCTGACAATTTGATCACTCTATTCTCCTCCTTCTTCCAATGAATCGGAGTGACACTTCTGGATCTGCTTCTAGACGGTGTTCTAAACCTCTGCAATAAGTATTTGTATGTTACAATCCTGTTTAAATAGAAAAAGGACGATTAAGTAACTTACAAACTTCCCTCTGCCTTTGATAACACGTCCGCTCTTAGTTGTAATAGGCCGCCTAATTCTTCGGTTGCCGTAAGTGTTAAAACTGGGCCTATCTCTTCGAAATCTGTTATTATTGTCGTTTCTGTCACGATCTCTATCACCTGTGAAATATCAATTATTAACCTTGTCTTAAACTGCTTAGCTTAGAGCTCGAACACACTGACAACCAGGTCGCACCGGCCAGGCCGCTGCTACCTCTAACACCATTAAATTAAATGATACAGCGCACACTAACGTCTTGGCCGTCGGTTGGTTTGGTTGCGACCAGTAAATTGCACTAAAATATTATTTTCTGCCGCTTGTTGCCGGTTTTCTTAGCCGGAAATGCCTCAAATTCAACGCACAATATTTTATTTTCTATAAGATATAGAGTTTTAGTGTAGTTTTTGCACACGTGCTGAAATTCCAAAGAAATAGTATACAGACTGGATCAAAGGGAAACTTAAATCTAGTCCTTTTTTTTTATCAAGGGTCGATTCTAGTGAAAATTCAAAACATTTTTATATGACATACTCTATTTATGGTTGGTATAATACCTGTTATTATATCTTCGAGTTTCGATGTTAAAAAATAAAAAATCATATTTAAAGTTTTTCTACAACCACTTTTTTTATTAAATTAGTTTTTTTAGTTGTATTGTGTAGTCATGTACAAGGAGGACAACTGTATTTTAAATATTATATTATTTAATTTATCGTTTTTCAAACAGGGTCCATTAGACTATATTTCTACTAGGTACATTATTTAAAAAAAAATAAGAGTAAAAGTAAGTTAAACATTCATAAAAATAGAAGTATTTACTGTTGTAGATTCTTAGTAACAATAAAAAAGAGGAATTTATATTGTAAACATTGAAATAACCGGAAGCTAAACTTTCTACCTGCTTATATTTAGAGCCAGTGTCTGACGACCTTTTTTTACGATGGCCCTAATATGTTTACTTCTAAAGTCGATAAGAGCCATCAGTAGAAGTCCATATCAGTAGACAAAAAAAACAGAATATCTCCCCTTTTGTCGGTCGCGCGTACGCAAGGTTTTTTGTTCTGCCTATTTGTTCTGCATCTTGTAAAGGTTCTGCTTGTTCGTGCGCGCTCGGTTCGTTCGGGCTAAAATGCCCAAGTCTGGACGCACCTTTAGGGACAATACTGTTTTTGTCCTTTATTGATATAATGCTGAAAATCTCACGAGTTACATGTCTCACTCTACACATACTAAATTACATAGACGTAGGACGTAGAATATTCTGATATGAAACGACTGATGGAATAGCAGGCATCGCGGATTTGAAAAACATGGAAATAACGACGTTATCGTGTAGTCGGGGTTGGAGATTTTACTTACCCCATTTACCACACCGGGATTTATTAACGAAAAATCCAAGAATATTTTAAATGCATTATTTTTTTATTTTTTATTAGCAACTTCACTTTTTAGTTTTAACATTTGTGAAACTTAATTCTTTCTGAAACAATATTTTCTAATTGGTAAAACGTAAAAAATCGTTAGATCTGACAACTCCGTTGAAACTGGTCGTTCATCTGGCCGCAGCTATAAACGCAATACATCCGGCCAGCCAACGCCCAGGTCATTGCGACCTGGTCGTCAGTGAGTTCGAGCTCTTAGAGAGTATCAAATATTGATTACTTACTTCTTTTCTTATCAGAACTTTTGTTCTCCTTGTCTTTATCTGGCGCACCTCTCATTAAAAACTTATTCGATGGAACTTCAGGTATATCTTCTGGTTTAATATCAGACAGTGTAACTAACCAATGAGGTTCTTTAACCTCACCTTCTTCCTCCTCTTTGTCTGAATGTTCACCTTCTTCTTTCCTGTAATTAAATATTGTTAATAATATACTGTTTAATTTTTTAACTAAACTTACTCTTTATGTTTCTTAGTTTTCTTTTCTTTTTTATCCTTCTTATGCTTCTTCTTTTTCTTCTTGTCATCGTCGGCTTCATCATTCGACACCCCTGAATCTTCAGAATTGTCGCCTTCTTCCTTGCTAGATGATTTCTTCTTCTTCTTAGCTGAAATTTATATTCGGAAATATTTAACTTGTTAATAAATCAGTAAAATGTAATAAAGACTACCTTTAACTTGTCTTACAAGCTCTCCACATTTCAGAATCTTTGCATCTTGTAAAGGTCTACTATTGGAATCCACTGGTAAGTTTTCGATTTGACGAACTACATCGGCACCACCAATAACTCTCCCAAAAACCACATGAACACTAAAAAGTTTATTTTTATTATTAAAATCAAACCTATTCTCAATGAAATAATTATTAAATTAATATATTTTTAGAACTCCTCTTGTTTTACTTATTTCTAAAATACTTACTTGTCGAGGTGTGGAGCCGGTTGCGTTGTACTATAACATAACAATGCAAATAATGATCAGCGTTATAGTCTTATTGGAAAAACTAGCCAACTACAGAACAAGTGTGAACACTAATAAATGTTAACAGTTCTGTAGCAATCATGATTTTATCTTAAATAAATTTAAAAATTGTTTTACGTTTGCTGAAAGAAAACATTACTGGATTATATAAAGATATTCCTTGTACAGCCTAAACCTAAACTCAGTACAAAATCAGTTAGAAATTAGTATATAATTGATTCTTATATAGGTATGCCAAGATATAACTCACATGAAAAACTGGGAACCGTTAGTATCTTTGCCTTTATTTGCCATCGAAAGCAATAAAGGCTGATCATGTTTAAAATCGAAGTTTTCATCTAAAACAAGAAAACAATAATGTATCTGATATGTCAGAAATAATTTCTGTACCTTCAAACGTTCCTCCATAGATACTCTCGCCTCCTGTACCATTACCATTGGAAAAATCACCTCCTTGTATTATAAAATCTTTTACAACTCTGTGAAACACTACATCCTAAAAAGGGTTCATATAAAAACGAATTTGGTGCTTTATTTTAAGGCTTACCTTATAATGAAGGGACTTGTTGGTCTCTTTGCCTAAACCTTTTTCCCCAGTGCATAAAGATCTAAAATTTTCGCAAGTTTTTGGTACGATATCGGTAAATAGTTCAAATACGACTCTGCCGCTACTTAAACCGCCGATAGAAACGTCGAAAAAACACCGCGACCTTTGCGGTTGCTCGCTCATGCTGAAACATCAATTAAACTACTGTAGAAAATATAGAAATAGTAATTTAATAATATCACTTACATGAAAAACTAAAAAGCACTTCACAAGAAAGCATTAAAATTGTTAAAAATCCGAAAGAAAATGGCGTTTCAGCAGATTGTATGACATTTGGCATTTGTATGTGTCAAATCAAAATTGACTGTGGCTAGTCGTCCGCTAGACAGCTGAATAAAGGTCCGGCTAAGAGTCAAAATTCAAGGCCGTGACACACGCGCTAACGAGACGAAAAGTGGTAACGACACGCGCTGGGAGTAAAAATTCAAGTCCGTGACACACGAGCTAGCAAAACACAGCCTACGGCTTAAAAATTACGTAGTGACGCGACGTGTATTTGTGAGCAGTCCACGTGTTTATCAAAAATATCAGTGGCGAATAAAGAGGGGGGCCCATAGGCCCTGCCCCCCCCCCCCCTAACATCTGGAAATTGTGTAAAATATTAGGTTTTTTACCGGTTTTTGGTTAAAAATGGTACCCTAAAAAGCATATTCTACATTGCTTTTTATTTTGGGCTCTCCCTAAAATAAATTTCTGTATCTGCCCCTGAAAAATATTGATATTTTAATTCAAATTTTGTCAAAGTGAATCAAATTATTTATTAATTTTTGGGATATTGAAAATTAATAATGCATTAATAATTTTTCATGTTTAAGCCTTTAAATGTTTAAATTTGCTGAATCTGGCTCTGCTACAAATGGAGCAGGCAAGCAAGTAGAAAAAGCCGAAATACAAGTAGAAAAAGATCCTGTAGAAACAGTTCTGATAGCTAACAGGAGCAGTTCTTTGAAGGTGACTTTTGATATATCATTCTCCTGGTGCTGTGGATTTTGTCCCCCCCCTCAACATACTGTTACATATAATTAAACGTTTTTTCAGTTCTAATATTTTTTTAAAAAGTTGATTTCCAATGGGAGTTTGAAGCTAGTTTTTCAACATTGTGTAGACTACTTTTATATAACCGGACTATTAATTTATTTTATTTGTCCGTTTAACGGACAACTAAACACTTCAAATTAATTTCGTGTATGTTTAGTTGCCTATACCCGTACTGTCAGATTATTTGACAGATATTAATTAGGTTAGGATTTTAAAGTGCCTTGGGTGCCTTGACTGCCTAGTGACCTTGGTGACATAACAAACACCCCCAAAAACAATAATTTATTTATTAATTTAAAAAATGATCAAGTAAGTACATGCCAATTGAAAATGAAGTAGAAAAAAAAAGCTTACCAGCTCCATCAGCTCAACTTTGTAAACTTTCAGAGCAGCTTTTAGCTTTTATTTTTTCCAAATGGAAGCTATTTTTCTAAAGTATCTTAGCATGAATTTTTTGAAATTGTACTAACAGAAATAGGCTAATAAATACCGTAAAAAGAGTTATAATTGATTTTGTAGATTTGCAATCAAGGCCGCTATTGCTGGAACTGCAGTGTACTATATTAAGGAACAAGGTATTTTTAATAAAAGCGATGAAAGTATTGAATCGTACAGAAAGCTAAAGCAAGCTGTTAGTCCGTATATACAAGATGTGACATCTCAAATTCCTATTGAGGTATAATTTTTGACTGTTTGTTAATTACTTTTGGTATTATATATTCTGGAATTTATATATAGTATTTTATTAAATTTTCAGTTGCCTGAAATACCTCCAACCGACAATGTATCACAACTAGCAACAGAATATTGGAACAGAGGTGTAAGAGCCAGCTTTGCTTTCCTAGTACGACTACCAGAATGCTCCAAGCATTATATAAAGAAAGGAGTTGACCAAGTTTTAGAAAATCCAGAAGTTAAGAAGTTTGTAGATTCCTTTTCGAGTACCGAATCGAAAGTACCACCGCCACAATTAGTTAGTGGTTCCAGTCCACCAGCGGCGAGTAAAAAGTGAAGCGTGAAATAAATGGATTTGTGGAAAAGATTTTTTTTATTTTAATAAATTATAATGTTATGTTGTTCTTAGTCATGAAGCCAATAAAGAACTAGAATTTTGCCGAAATTAGATAAGGAAAAGGTAGATCATGTCTTTGAGACATACAAGATGATTCCTGCAATATATTTTTACATATATATTTTGCATTTTTTTAAACAGAATTCTGTATAATTTTCGCCCAATAGTTTTGCTATAAAATTTTGATCTCAAAAATTCCATTTTTTTTATTAAATTTTCCAATCTTAAAAAATCGTTGATTATTAATTTTTATATAGAGGGTGTTCCTTAATGACATGCTACTATTTTAGGGGGTGATTCTTGGACCCATTCTAAGAAAAAAACTTCATATATATAAATGTCCTAAACATCTTAACTTTTATGATACAGTAAAATTAAAAAAAAATCATAGGAATTAAAAAAAATCATTAGTTCTGATTTCTTCCTGGACACAAACGGTACATTGTGAGACAGGAAATTGTAGAGAGAAACAAGCCCTATAACATAGGATACAACATTTTAATGAACAGTGCTTTCCAAAAAATCAATAAAATGAAAAATATACAAAATAATATACATGTTCTGATTTCTTTCGAAAATCGACAACTATGAAAATATGAACCCTTCCTGGACACAAACGGTACATTGTGAGACAGGAAATTGTAGAGAGAAACAAGCCCTATAACATAGGATACAACATTTTAATGAACAGTGCTTTCCATAAAATCAATAAAATGAAAAATATACGAAATAATATACATGTTCTGATTACTTTCGCAAATCGGCATCTATGAAACTATGAACCCTTCCTGGACACAAACGGTACATTGTGAGACAGGAAATTGTAGAGAGAAACAAGCCCTATAACATAGGATACAACATTTTAATGAACAGTGCTTTCCATAAAATCAATAAAATGAAAAATATACGAAATAATATAAATGTACTGATTTCTTTTATTGATTCTCTATATAAAAAATTCCATTTGTTGCGAACTCTTGACACGTCCTGTATACACCGGAGGTTTAAACTATTACAGATATGCTTTTCTCAGTTACATATTTCAACTTTTTTTCGTCAGGTAAACTAAAGGACCAAAAATAAAACCAAGAAGTGTATCTTTATCTTGTACTTAAAGGTACCGTTTTATTGTAAAATAAAAAGTACAACAGACAGAGTCCTCAAGACACAGAGAAACCAGCTCCTCTGCATCGATCACGCTCAAAAATAAATAAATAATCTAACATTTTGATACAAAAAAAAAACTCTGTAATACAAAAAGATCATCATACACCACTCGCAATCACGCACATCACTATTTTTCTTCTTTTTTTCACTGAGAGAACAACTCAAAATATTTAGTCCGATTTTCTATGAAAGTTTTTTAAATCAGTCTTGTTTCTGTGACGCGTTGGACACCTTACAACTCGTCTTTTAGTTCGTCCTCGTCGCCGGCAGATGTCGGTGGCGGCGCTCCTCCTGTGTTCTGGTACAGTTTGGCAATGATGGGTTGTACGACATCTTCGAGTTCTTTTTTCTGTTTCTTGTATTCTTCCGAGTCGGTGTCTTGGTTTTCTTCGAGCCATTTGATCTTTTCGTCGATGGCTTCTTCCATTTTGGCTTTTTCGTCACCGCTAACCTTGCTGCCAAGTTTATCTTTGTCTCCCAGTTGATTTTTAAGGGAATAAGCGTAGCTTTCCAGTTCGTTTCTAGCTTCGACGCGTTCCTTAAGTTTTTTGTCTTCGTCGGCGAATTTTTCGGCGTCCTTGATCATGCGGTCGATGTCGTCGGGTGTTAAACGGTTTTGGTCGTTGGTAATGACGATCTTTTCTCTGTTTCCTGTGCCTTTGTCTTCGGCTGATACTTGAAGGATACCGTTGGCGTCAATTTCGAAGGTAACCTCGATCTGGGGGACTCCTCTGGGTGCTGGGGGGATGCCGGTAAGGTCGAATTTACCCAAGAGATGGTTGTCTTTGGTCATGGGACGTTCACCTTCGTATACCTGGAAAGAAAAATCAGAATAAATATCTTATACATGTAGATTCTTATTTTAGTAACTTAAATAAATTGGAAATTTATACTGATGTCCCAGTGAAATATGTGATTTTTAGGGGTAGCAATCAGTATGTGCATGAGCTCAAGAGTTTCAAGGTTTTTAATAATTTAAAAAAATAATGTGGAAATAATCTGGTCTGGCATGCCCATTGATTAAAAAGACTAAGAAAAGAGTCCAAAATTCATGCATTTGAGTTGCTGACATTTCACAGTTTATGTTAATTATTGTTTATTTAATAATTGGTTTTATGCAAAGTGTACAAATTTGGAAAGACATTGTGTCAGGGCATGAACTAGAGAAAGATTATTGTGAATCTAGAATGTACTGTCAATTGGGGGAAAATTCTCAGATTTGGCATCACTGCGCACCACAGCGGTCCACACCAACGAAATTAAATCACGCCCCTTACTTCCTTATTCTATTTATTTCTTATATGTTGCCTGTCCAGTCATTGCAGTCTGTAGAGGAGGTGGAAAATTCACAAAGGCGCAGTCTTTATTAACCAGGGTTGGAAAAAATCATGATATTTTTAAAAAAAATTAAAAAAATCAGATTTTTTTTTATTTAAATCAGATTTTTTTTGATTTTAATTCAAAACAATATTTAAATCGGATTTCCAAATGACTAGTACTTATTTCCAATTAAAGTCCTATCCTAAATGGGTAAAACTTTATAACTCTACCTGATACCGATCACATTAACAATTCTACGGCGCGTGTCATTTTTCCACATCGGTCAATATATTCCGCAAAAAAAGTCGCTCGCTTCAGATCAAAAGGATTTTTTTTCAAACGAAAGATATTAACTTTTGTCATTTTAACGCCTAGGCATAAAAGTAAAGCACTGTTACGCCTAAGCACAAAATTTATAATATTAAATTGATATTAAATGTCAAATTCAACGAGTGTACAAATTGTTGCTCGATATTTGCAATGTTTGAAATTGATTAAAAAATGTTTGTAATGTTTTAAGAGAAATAGTATGTTCTATACCAAGCAAAAATGTACTTTTTGTGCCTCCCTGTATCGGCGGAATAGCTTTACGATGGTCCTTCAAAGGTACAGCATCGTCAAAGAAAGTATAATTTTTACTCCTTATAAAACAATACACTATTGTTCGGAAATAGTCTTAAGTCGAGAATGAAATTAGTATGTATTATTCTAAATTAGTTTGTGGTATTATCTAATATAAAAGTGTAAAGTACTTACTGCAGATCAAAATGTCGGTAAGAATTTGGAAACATGCAACCGTTTAAAAAAAATATTTCGTTTTCTGACAACGATTATAGATTCTCGGAAATGAAGCTATAGTCTCTATATATTAGAAGAACCTAGTTCTGCACTAGACTTTGCAAATAATATGTATTCGAACAGCGAATCTTATACATAAATTTTAAAATAAATCCCTGCGGTCTAATGGATTCACACGACATTACTTGAAAAATCGGTCCAATATTTAAACTGATGAATAGATATTTTTATATAGTTTTATAACATTTACAATTATTTTTCGATTTATTATCTGTTATAGAAATATTTTCTCTAGTTTTCTAGGACACCGTTTTATAACTTTTACAGTCATTTTTTGATTTATTATAAAGTTTCAATTTTTTTTATTTAAATCACATGATTAAAATTAAAAAAATCACTTGATTTAAATAATTTGATTTAAATCATGCCAACCCTGTTATTAACCCTCAAGAGACAATATATGTATGCGCGCCCATGTGTAAAAGTGATAATTTTCAGAAATATCCTTTAATTATGTTAAAAGTGTGGGGTAGATGATAAAATCTCAAAGGCATGTCTTAGAAAAATTCAGAATTCGTTTTTCTAGGGACTTTGAAAATGTATTAACTTTTTAAAAATGGTATTGTTTGTACAAATGACAGACAAAGAGGAATCTAGTAAACATAATTTCTAATGCAGTATTATATCCTCATGTATTTTTTTAGTTTATAAATTTAATAAACAATCAACAAATAAATCACTAGGACTCACCTGAATAGTGACAGTATGCTGATTATCAGACGCTGTACTGAAAATCTGCGACTTCTTAGTAGGAATTACAGTATTCCTTGGAATCAGCTTAGTCATCACCCCACCGACAGTCTCGATACCCATAGTCAAAGGATTGACGTCCAACAAGACGATCGCATCAGTATCCTGTTCACCGCTCAACACACCGGCTTGTACAGCGGCACCATAGGCAACAGCCTCATCGGGATTGATACCTCTTGAAGGCTCTTTACCGTTGAAGAATTCCTTAACCAATTGTTGGACTTTGGGGATACGAGTCGAGCCTCCGACCAGCACAATTTCATCGACGTCCTTCTTGTTCATGTCGGCGTCTTCCAGGACTTTTTGGACGGGTTTCAGGGTGGACCTGAACAGGTCCATGTTGAGTTCCTCGAACTTGGCTCGGGTGAGGGTTTCGGAGAAGTCGTCGCCTTCGAAGAAGCTTTCGATTTCGATCCTGACCTGGTGGCTGGCGGAGAGGGCTCTCTTCGCTTTTTCGACTTCACGACGGAGTTTTTGGACGGCGCGGTTGTCTTTTCTGGAAGAGAAATACCATGATTTATAGTACGAGAGCTAGCAACATCGGAAAAACAAGTATTTTAAGACGTCTGGCTCTTTGATGTATCTTTTACTATGATCTCTAGAACAGCCCGTCTGGCTGCCGGTAAACGTTGAGTTTCCTGCTGCGCATTGAAAGAAGATCCTATATTTTTATTAGTTCTTTAAATTCTAGTATTGAATATAAATCGAACATGTCTCCATAGCGCAGTGCGTAGAGTTTCCGACTACGAACCGAGGATTCAGAGTTCGAATCCGTGTCAGGGCAAAGACTTTTTTTTTATTTTATTTTCGTTTATATTCTGATAGTAAAGTATTAAATATTTGTTTTTTTTTGAATCACCAGAATTATTTAATACTTTACTATCAGAATATAAACGAAAATAAGAGTTCCAATCCGTGTCAGGGCAAAGACTTTTTATTTTATTTTCGTTTATATTCTGATATAAAGTATTAAATATTTGTTTTTTTTTTGAATCACCAGAATTATTTGTGATGGGCAAAACTGTTATTTTTAGATAACAGTTGAAACTAAAATAGTTATTTTCGAAAAATCAGCTTAAAAAACAGCTTAAAAATAACAGGTTTGTTTATTTTATTTCTAAATACAGAATAGATTAGGTTACTGATTATTTGTTGTTAAATTAACGAACTTGCACATGTTGAATAATTTAGTGTAAATGTAGTAAACCTTATTAACATTCAATGCGTTCAAACATTCCTCTTGTAGATGTCGATGCTCATATCGATTTTATTAAATAAATCTGGTATACCTTTAAAAAATATCTTGATTTAAGTAAATTTATTTCTACATTTATTCTTAAAAAGCCAAAAATAACGGCGGCAGCTTGTGGTTTAAAAATATACATTCCAATCTTATTAGTTATTATATTTTGTATGAATTAACTTGGTGCTAGGTAAGATTTATCCATAATATTTAAGATCAGCAAATCATTTATATAATTTTCTAGCCATTATAGCAAAGAGTTACAAAAGAGAGAGAGAGAGAGAAATACACGAGGAACTTAAACTATCGCCTTTTACTTCATCAAACCGACCCCTCAAAATTTCCCCCTGTTACATTTTGGCGCCCAACTAGAGGCTGGTGAAGTATTATATAGACAATAGAAGAACTACTGACTACGTGTATTTATCTGAGATGAATTTGGATCTACGAGATCGACAATCTCTTTCGGATCCCATAACAACATCGCCCACAACGCCTCAGGGGCCCGTACCAACTACGACAGTCACGACGGTACCAAACACAAGTCCAACGATACAAGGTAGGATCTTTCCAAATTCTGTATTATCTGGACAGTTTATAAGAGGCAATAATAACGAAGGGAATCAGGGAGGCAACTTTATGTTTGTGCCGCCACCGCCGGCAGTTCATATGCCAACGGCAAATTTCATGCCACCGCCATTTTGTAATCCGACTACCTGTTCCATGCAGCAAGAAGATTTAAAAACGATAATTTCTAGTGTTATTAATGAAGTACATAAGTTAAATATAAATAATAATAATATCAATTCTAATCAGGGCCATTTTCAAAATATTTGTACTTTTAAACCAAACGCTGACGTTCCTATTTTTGATGATAAAGGGGATATACACCCTGTATTTTTGGTCAAATACAAACCATGTATAAGTCACCAAATGTTTCTGTAGATCAGTTTTAGTAGATAGTATAACTAATTTATTCTTTAGAGGAAACGCAAAAATATGGATGAACGCTTTTCTTATCAACTTTCACTAATTTTCAAGATTTTAAAAATCAATTCTTAGCTTAGATTCGATATTTACCCTATAAATGGCAGCGCTACATTTACAGAATATTTTAATTCCTATGTAGTTTTGGCTAAACATTTAGAACCTACCTATCCGCCCCCGCCAATTAATTCAAATTATTGCGCACTAGTTCATTTATCCACCAAGTACTAGAATTTATAGGACTAAATTAAAAAAAGATATAGGATCTTCTTCCGATGCGCAGTAGTGAACGCAACGGGTATCGGCAGCCAGACGGGCCGGGCCGCATGCTGTTCCAGAGAGCATAGCAAAAGATATATCAAAGAACCAGACGTCTTAAGGTGGGTATTCACTTGCAACAAAACACTCCGAACGAACCAAACGCGCCGCGCGCGCTGTAACAAGTTTGTGTAGTCAGTACGTTGCGCCGAACCGAACCGAACGCCCCAAACATTTTCCGAAGCTTGTCGGTAAACGGGATTTGCTCAAAAGAATTTGTTCGTTGGCCGGTGTTCAGTGGATACGGCAGTTTTGAACGTTCGTTGTGTTTGGGATGTTTTTAAACTGTACCTAGCTATGGAGTGGAGCAGAGAAAATTATTAAATTAATTAAATTCTTCTTATGCATATAATCTAGGCCACTAAGTAAGGCCATATTATATTGACGGCGTAAAAAGAAGCGTCTTGCCCACATTTTTCGTCCTTTCCTTTTTTTCTCTTTTTTGTTACCCGCTAATGCCTCTATAATTAAAAAAGCACCAGCGGCTATGGTAATATCAGATGCATCCTTATCGACAAACACACTAACACTGATTCACACACTGATTACTGGTGGGAACGCAGCGAACACCGCAAACAGGCGGAACGCTCCGCGCAAAATGTTTTGTTGCAGGTCGTTCAGAGCGCTCCCGGAAAATGTTTTGTTGCAGATTGTTTGGAGTGAGCGGCGCGTTTGGTCTGTTCGGAGTATTTTGTTGTGAATACGCACCTTTAAAATACTTTCTCGAAAACATTGCTAGCTCTTAGACTATTAGAACGAAGATTTATCGTAAATGATGCTACGAGGGTAGTCAGGAAAGTCTACTACCTCATGATGTGTAAAGCTGTATCCAGACGCAGCTTTTTACATTGTGACGTAGTAGGTTTTAAACGTGTGTGTCCACTTCAATCAATTATAGGTAGTTCAAAGAGAAACTCAAGAAAAATTGTTCGTTCGGGTTCGTAAGATCGGAACGCCGTATTTTCGCTTATTTATTGAGTTTCCAGTTACTAATATTGATTTTGAAGTATGGAATTGTCCAGTGATGAAATATTAACATTTCAGATACATACAGGGTCGCGGTTATGTATGGAAACGGTTTGATTATTAGGAAAAATATAGGAGGTATCGCAAAAAGTTAAATACAAAAGTTAGAGGGTTTTTAAATTTTTATTAGCGAGTAATAAATTTAAATATACAGGGTCGATCGTAAAGTCGTGGTACATCAAAGTTTCTTTTTTTATAGGACCCCCTGTATATTATTGCATATTTCATTTATTCCTTCAATTCTAAACAAAAATCGAATAACATACAATGTACCTCAAACCAACCGTTTCCGAGTTATTGACTTTTGAACATATCAGTTAAACAATTTGATATAATTAATTTCGATATGTTCAGTTTCATTTAATGATGTCATTCTACCGAAACTGTGATACTGTTGTCATAAAGTTATGGCACATAAAACTTTATGACCGGAATTTTAGAATATAGAAATACCATAATTGACTATTTTTAATTAAAAAAAAAAAAACGAAAAATCTGAAAAAATATGGATATTTACCTGATGTCCTTGCCCTTCTTCTTCTTGTACAATTTGATAAAGTGGTCCATAACTCTCTGATCGAAATCTTCACCTCCCAAGTGAGTATCTCCATTGGTGGCCACTACTTCAAACACTCCATTATCGATGGTAAGAAGAGATACATCGAAAGTACCACCGCCCAAATCGAAGACCAACACGTTCTTTTCACCGTCTTTTTTGTCCAAACCGTAGGCAATGGCGGCTGCTGTGGGTTCGTTGATGATTCTCATAACAGTCATACCTATATGCAATAATTGAAAAATTTATTTGTGCATATTGAAAAATTTAGCATTGAGATATTTTAAAAAATGAGAATAAATAAATAAAAAATGGTTGAATTTTCGATGTTTACCTGCAATAACACCAGCATCCTTTGTGGCTTGACGTTGAGCATCGTTGAAGTAAGCAGGTACAGTTACTACAGCATGGGTTACTTTTTTACCAAGGTAAGCTTCAGCTGTTTCCTTCATTTTACCTGTAAAAAATAGTAAATTAAGCAAACTATCAATATATTTTTCTTTACTAAATTTTGATAATAAAAATTCTACAGATTTAAATTTGCACACTTCGTTAGAAAAAAAATGCTGTTGATTTTTATCCCAGAGAAATAAGTAAACTTAGAGGACTTAAAACTACACTAAATTATTTTCTAATTTTAATCAATATCTACTACAGTAATACCATAGTATAAAGAAATTAGTAACTTGACTCCTTGTCAAATCCTTTGTTCTTTTTCTGCCACTTTATATGACCTTGTTCTCGCATCCCGTGACCACTGACGTAACTGTATAGTCGTGGTCTATAACTAGGCAAAGTATAGTCGTAGCACTCGCCATAGTTTTACAGAGATGTATTTAGAAAAATATGAGTTTTACAAAAAATAAAATAAAAAAAAATTGATCATCGAGTAAAAATTTGCTTGAAAACAGAATATTTTCACATTTCGTGTAAGCAACAATTCTTCTGTATCTGAAAATCTTCTGATGGGAAGAAATGCGGAAAAAATATATAATGACATATTTTTATATTATTATCTATTTCAAAGATTTTCTACATTTTTTTTTAATTTAAAACAAGTTTAATTTTAACATTAATGTGTTTGTTTTGTAGTAATATATTGGTTACTTAATTTTCATTGGATAACTAATACATTGAACAACACATTGTACTAAATAATAAAACTGCAATAATTGCTAAGAAACATTACAGAAATTTCAAAAGAGAAAAGAAGCAAGAACAATGAGAAATAGCATCACTACTTTCCCATGTAACAAAAGAATATTTTTTTAGTTATTACGAGTCCCGAAGGTACCGAAAGAACCGGGAATTAATAATTTCGAGTCCCGGTTCTTTGATATCTCGAAAGAACCGGGAATTTCCGGTTCTGAACCCTAGTTACCATATTATCAAGAAATTGTGTTTTTTAACTAAAAACAAAAAAAATTCCAGATTTTATTTAAAAAAAATTGCGCAGAAAAATCCTCATATTTCTGGGGCCAAAGTATACTACCCCTAAAAATATTTGCACTTATTTAAGACTCGCCCTGTATAGGGCAATTCACGGTTAAGGTACGTTATAGCGTTTCCGGAACCGGAGCTGTTTTTCGGAACCGGTAATTTCGGTACCATGCCTCTAAGGAACCGGAATTTCCTTTTTTTTCGGTACTTTCGGTACTAGCAAATTTTTGTTCAATGATGGTGCAGTTCATTAAATAGCAAGCAAGGGATGGTTGTCAAAAGTAAAATCGATAAAAAATTGAGGTTTAAATAAAAATAATATCAAATTATTAAGTAGTAATCAGTCATGAGAAAATTAACCTGAACACAAACATGATCATAAAAATGACTGAAAAAAAACTCAAAGCACAATTTTTTGAATTACTACAACCAATAGCAGCACACAGTAAGGCACTCATTTTTTGTCAATCCGTCTCTGTGCTGGGACGCAACACGCAACGCTCGAACCTCGCAGATCGACGGACGGAACTCAACTGAAACGCTCTGCATTCTGCCGATATTCGACAGATTGTAAAAACTGGCAGAAAATATTTGGGAGAGTGCAACTACTCGTTTCCTTCTACTATGGTAATACCAGATTAATGTTCTTCCTTCAAATGTGATTAATAAAAACCAATGTCAAACTACTTGTATTTATTATTGGTTTAACATTGTTGGTTTAAGTTTGATTATTTAAATAACTCTAAACCGTTACCTAACACCATAGCTGATATCTCCTCAGGAGCGAAGATCTTCTCTCCTTGGCTGGTCTCCACCTTAATGTGCGGCTTGCTGTTCTTCTCGATGACCTTGAAGGGGAAGAACTTGACGTCATGTTGCACGGCGGAATCACTCCAGTCTCTTCCTATCAAACGCTTGGCGTCGAACACCGTGTTCTCGGGGTTGGTGGTGAGCTGATTCTTGGCGGCGTCACCGATCAGACGCTCACCGTCAGCGGTGAAGGCCACGTACGAGGGGGTGATACGGTTACCTTGGTCGTTAGCGATGATTTCTACGCGACCGTTCTTGTATACGCCCACGCTGGAAAGAGAAAAAGAATTGGAGATCGGAGAAGCAAAAGATAATGAAAAAGTATAGGAGCCCTAAATTGAGTCATACTGTTTTTAAGGGATGGGACCATCATCGCAGGTTATACTGTCTAAAATATCGTCAGATTTTTGAACATAACGATATTTTCTGTTATTTAATAGATTTGTAAAAAATAAGTCCTAAAACAATAATTTTTTGCATGAAAACTATACATACTTATATATTTACTCAGCTGTCACTAGAAAGAATTTCGGAGAGCGACAGATAAAGTAAAATTCATTGCATATAAAGACTAAGAAAGGAAGCTAATAATATTTTTATAATCATCAAATAGAGAAAGACACGACATTATAATCAATAATGTCAAATTGCCACATTTAATTTTTTTCCTGACATTGTCCTTCATTTTGACACTTTTTGTATTACCAGTTTTTGATTTAAATGAATTGTGTTGTGATACTTAAAAAATTTTTACTAGCAGACCTTGTAGTCGAACATTGTTCTTTTTAGAACCTCTTTTAGTGCGAAGTGTACAAGATAGCTTAATAGCCGTTGCAAAAAACTCATCGCAAACTTACTAGAATATTTTGAAAGGGAAAGCGGTAGTAATGGCCCTTAAGTGCTGTCAAGGAGGTGAGTTTTGTTGATGTAAATAATAACTGTTTATATATTTATAATTAATTTTATTTTTGTTTCCGAAAATATTTTGATTAAAAGAAAATATGTAAAAGTTGGCAACGCTGTGCCTTTCAAGCTTAATCACGTGACTAAAACTTTATTTGGTATGATCTATAGTTATTATAACTTATGTAAGTATTTTAATAAAGATATAATGTTTTAACAAATTTAATAACTAATAAAAAAACAGCTAAGTACTGAGTCTGATTTCTATTTTTTATTCTCCTTTATATTTTAATATGTTTAAAAAAAATAGAACGCCAATGGTAAATCTGAATTTAAGTTTCCGATACTAAAATACCTCCACTGTTGCACTAATTTTGTTGATAATATGCTCCTTCCTTAGTTTTTGTATTCAATGAAAACTATAAAAAGTATATTGTTTCTTCTGTATTTTTCGGATATTTTCTGTCAAAACCATATATTCTCTCCCTGAACAAGTTATAGATATAATTTGAACTTAAAATTTTTACCTGTATACCAAGTCAAATAAATTAAATTTTACAAAAGTAGATTTTTCTAAACAGTTATCTGCTGTGATAAAGATTAAAATATAATATAAATGATAACTAAAATTTGAGTTTCAATTTAAGAAAAATCTTATTTTGACACAGTACATTTTTATATAACATCTTGCCAAATTTATGAAATAAAAAAGCATAGACATAATCCAATTTCATAGTTTAAAAAAACTTTAATTTGTTGTTAACCACAAAGCCACAATAAAAGTTCTAAAAAATTACTTTCTACAAAAATTTCATCACCTATGGCTATGTTATCCAACATAATAGTATGATTTAAAAAAATATAGTGTAATTTACAGTTTATTTGAAGCAGTTTCAAGTTTTTAGTATAAATGTACCAATATTGATTTTGTCAAATTTATATAGATTTTATCAGCTTTGTAAATGGAACTGAACAAAGTTACAGCCTCTGGTTACAGCCTACTAACTTTTCTATATTATTTTAATCAAAGTTTATTTGTTTTTTGGTACTATTAACAATAACTTACCACGAATATGTAGTTCCTAAGTCAATTCCAATCACTGTACCGACATCATCTTTGTCTTTCTTGTCCTCCTTAGCTAGAACACTAACCGTGAGACATATAACCCCTAACAAGAAGCACAACTTCATTTTGGAACTCCTACTTATTTAGAATAAAATCTGTAAGAAACAAAGCAGGAATTTGTATTTAATATGTAGGAGAGTTTGTTCTATATGGAATGCGCTAGAATATGTACGTTACTTGGGTTTTAAGAAACTTACTGTACAAAATCGAGAAAACTAGGACACCTGAGTCGTTTAACGGGATACTTTTTAAGGAATTAATTATTTAACATAACGGTTCTCTGTACCTTATGCCGGACTATTTGATGACACGTCAAATATTAAAATTAAACGTTTTAAAGTCTAAATTTTAATAGAATACATAGAAATTCGTATATTTTCAAGCTATTCGATGAAATAACTATACTTGTATGTCTCTAAATAACATATTTCTTCTAATATTACGAAAAACAGTTCTAGAATATTCCTCAGAAATCAATCAAAGTATAGAACCCCAAAACACTACTAAATATTGTTTGAATTATCTTAAAACATACTTACAATATATGACAATAAAAAATCACAGTTGTATTCACGGAAAAATACTATAATCACTTCGAAAATCTCTTTAATTTGCGCTCAATACACTCCTCGATTCTTTCACTAGCAAATTTGACTGATCAAAAATTCGGCTGTCACTTGGAAAATATACAGAATAAATTCATCCGTGTTCGGTTCTGATTGGCCGAGATTCAAACAATGTCCCGTCCGATTGGTGGGAATCGCTCAAGTTGGCCGATCGCGATTGGTCCACGTTGGGAGGAACGGTGAAAAACATCAATACCGGACATGCCATACGGAAAATACACGTATCTCGACCATGGAAACGATTCCTAAACGTAGGTGTGTGATAAAGTCTGGGGGTATTTGCGCGTAAATGCGGGAGATTTGAAATATTTGCGTTAATTTCAGATATTTCTAGAAGGATATTGTTAACTAAAAATAACTCAAAACTGTTCTGATAAGATAAGGGATTAAGTGTAAACCTTTCAGGAGGGATAAATAATAAGCAAGACTATTTTAAAGAGTGTTTTATTCTTTTATTCGTTGATGCGCTACAATATTATCGTTCTTTCAGTGTTTTTGGGCGGTAAAATTACAAGTTTTCTATATTTTACGTATTTTTTAACTATGGAATTACACAGATTTCTTATTTGTCGAGAACTACGAAAAAGTATAGTCCTATTATAATAATAGCTTTACTATTATTCAGATTCCTCAATATTTTGAGATCAAATGGTAAAAATGTGTTAAAAATATTTTTAAGGGTAAGAATTAAATCGATTAAAAAATTAATTTTACCTAAAAACTATTATTTTTTACTTTTCTTTTTAAATGGTGAAATACCTAGATATCTTTCAGTATAATAAATAATAAACTTACAACAAACTCTAATGATCGAAAAAAAAACGGCACCCATATGGGCAACAACTCCTATATAATACCAGGTATTTGTAGGAGTTGTTGATATGGGTCGAAAACTTGGAAATGACGATCGATGACATTATCCCCATATAATTTTACATATAAAATAACAGCGATCTTAATTTGATAGCCATCGCTGACGCCGTTTTTTTTTTCGATCGTATTGTATAAACATTAATTAAATCATAGTCAGCGAAATCACGACAAAAGATATTTTGAAAACAATAATGAAACAGATTTTAACTTCAACTATAATAATTTTTAGTTTAGACTAAATTGACGCCGTTTTTTTTTCATATCGTATATTTTTTGGTGAAAAAATGATCCAATCTAGATCATTTTTTGAAATAACTGCATTTAAATCCTTGAAAATAAAATAATAGATTAATACCATTCTATTATCGTCCTTATGTTAACTATGCTTAGGGTTGAAAATACTGAAATTAAGCAAGCAAACAGAAGCAGAAAATCCTTAGGACTCTATGTATTGTTGGTTGCATACCTTCTGGCGTTATTAGCACAGCCCTTTCATTAGACAGCCAGTCGACTTACTAGATTATGTACAAAGTGGGTCAAATTAAAAAAACAACCTTTTCTATAGGAGATAGACAAAAACTAATATCGGTGTCTGGAGCTCAATTTTTGTCAAAAACATGATGGTGAAAACCGCACATTGATATCTGATACCGTTTCGGAGTTACCGGGTGTTTTTCAAAAATGTGCATTTTTAACAAATCGCTGTAACTTTTTTGCTATGAAGAAATTTGTATTTTTATGAAAACATTTCCAAAGCACCTTTTTACGTAGAATTTAATGGTTTAAGTATAATTTTTTTTTAAATTAATAATTTAAGAGTTATCAACAGAAAAATTGATTTTTTATTTGAGACATTGTACATGAAACTCTGCGTACCTACCTAACTAGTGAAATCGACTAGCTGTCTAAGAAATAGGCTGTGGTCCTAGTGTCGATTATTAAAATTACCATAAAATCGTCAAAATCTTTTATATTTAATTCAGAAAAAGTCAAAAGTTTTCAGATACAATCAACAACAAAGATTTTTACAGAATGGATTTGTGTGTAAATAACTCATTTGTCTTAAAACTTTTTAATTCTTACTTTTTTCCTCTAGTTTATTATAGTAGGAGAGCTAGCAACGTCGGAAAAACAAGTATTTTAAGACGTCTGGCTCTTTGATATATCTTTTATTACTATGCTCTCTGGAACACCATGCGGCCCGTCTGGCTCCTGGTAAACGTTGCGTTCTCTACTGCGCATTGAAAGAAGATCCTATATTTTTATTAGTCCTTTAAATTCTAGTATTGTATATAAATCGAACATGTCTCCATAGCGCAGTGCGTAGAGTTTCCGACCACGAACCGATGATTCAGAGTTCGAATCCTGGCCAGGACAAAGACATTTTATTTTATTTTCGTTTATATTCTGATAGTAAAGTATTAATATTTGTTTTTTTTAATCGCCAGATTTATTTAATACTTTACTATCAGAATATGAACGAAAATAAAATAAATAAGTCTTTGTCCTGACCTGATTCGAACTCTAAATCATCGGTTCGTAGTCGGAAACTCTACGCACTGCGCTATGGAGACATGCTAGATTTATATTCAATACTAGAATTTATAGGACTAAATTAATAAAAAATATAGGATCTTCTTTCGATGCGCAGTAGTGAACACAACGGGTATCGGCAGCCAGCCAGTATGCTGTTCCAGAGGCATAGTCAAAGAGCCAGACGTTTTAAAATCTTTCTCGAAAACGTTGCTAGCTCTTAGACTATTAACTGTTGACAAGTTTTTATGTTAATTTTTAATAAATAATACTATAGTAAACAAAGATTATCAGTAATGAATTTTTAAAAGGTCACTGTGACGTCACTTTTTTTCAATCATATCGTACATTTAACTACTAATCCATATTTATTTTAAGTATTAATATCGCTAAAATTAGGTATTAAAGTGCTTTTGGCGGTATATCAGAAGTTTTTTCTTATTTATTTAACATATTTCAGAAAAATATGAACTTAAAAGTCGTATTTAATATAAAGAATAATCAACTAAAAAATGAATAAATATAATTTTAAGCGTTACATCAATGGAACCTAAAAACTAAAATAAAATAATGTAACAGAAAAATAAAAAGTATATTTCTATAAAACCAAAACAACAAATATCAATAAAGCATAAAAACAAATAAAAATAAATATCATTACAAATTTTCCCTCTGTACAAAAACAATTTCTTCCTTAAAATAATCATTGCTAGACCAACAGCTCTTCTTACAGGTATAAACCAGCACAGTACCAAAATCTAGCCTAGTTTGCTGGGTGGTATCGCAAACTAGCCAAAGTTTGGATATAATCGTCGGTACCAGTTGAAACTCGAACGTCAAATCTCCTTGACAATGTTGGCAGTACTTCAAGGGTTCTTGAAGGGAGTGTAGAAATAGTGGAGTACCTCCACGATCGTACCTATATTGATAGTTATGTAGATTTTACTTGTAAAACTATTAAAAAATAAAAGCTACCATAAAGCATAAAGTCCATTATTTAGTAAACTCTAACCATTCAAAAAAAAGAAATTTTGAAAAGTATAAAAGGGATTAACAATTATAAAACAAGCAAAAATTTTTACAAAGAGTGCATTTTTCCCAAAATGTTAAAGCAAAAAAGTTTTTCCTCTTGTAAAGATAATCAGAGGATATACTGTATACAGGGTGTTTCAAAAAACATGTGCCATCCCTCGTGGGGAGATTGTGCACGTAAAAATAAGATTTATTTTTTATATCAACATAGGTCCGATTCTGCTTTGTTTCGTAGCTACAGGGTGTTAAAGTCTTAATATTTTTTTCATTTATTATAATTTTCTTTCAAGTCCTTTTAGCGTTTTGAATGAAATTTTGAGGGTAAAGTTACTATAAATGTGACATATTTTAATGCTAAAAAAGTGTCGACATATTCCCCAGGGACGTGCATATGGGTTATCACTGGAATATTTTTCTAAAAAAAGCATGTACGTCACTGACTTTTTTTTCTCTTGTTAGCAAAATAGTGTAAGCAGTTTAATGCCGATTAAAAGTTGTGTCTTGATTTTTTGTTGATTTCGGACTCCTGGATGAGATAACTGCCATTTTATTAATTTGTCTTGATTCAAGTCTAATAGCAACCTTTAAAAAAAATTAATATCAATAACTTGCGAAAGTTTTAAATAACTACTCATTGATTCCTCATCAAAAAATATGAAAAAAAGTTTCTATAAAATGCATTTGCAGTTCTATAAAATGCGTTTGCATTTCAGTTTCTGCAAATGCAGTTTTAGAGTTACTAAACTGTTAAAACTTTTTAAAATTAGTTTTTTTTTGTAATTATCTTAAATAACACTATTTTTTTATTTGAAATTGCTGTAGGCTGAACTAATAGTAATAATTTTTAATAATAAATTAGGTAAAATATACAATTTATTAATTTTATTTTTATTTTAATTTTACATACGGTAATTAATAAAATTGCGTTTATCTCATCAAGGAGGCCAAATTCGACAAAATATCTAGAGATAACTTTTAATTGACATTAAACGGTCTACACAATTTCGATATCAAAAGAAAAAAAGTCAGTAGTGCACATGTTTTTTTTTGTTTCCAGTGATTACCCATATGTACGTCCCTGAAGAATTTATCGACACTTTTTTAGCATTAAATATGTAGCACCTATAGTAACTTTTACCCTCAAAATTTCATTCGAATCACTAAAAGTACTTGGAAGAAAATTATAACAAATCGAAAGCCTATTAAGTCTTTAACACCCTGTAGCTACGAAACAAAGCAAAATCGGACCTATATTGATATGAAAAATAAATTTTATTTTTACGGGAAGAATCTCTCCACGAGAGATGGTACATGTTTTTTGAAACACCCTGTAAGTATATAAAAATTAATTACTTTTTACCTTAGGATTTGGCCAGGATTTGATTGAATTTTCGAGATGAAATGATGAGATCTCATGTCTCCATGGGCGGGTTTGGCTTGCTCGTATTCTTCCATTGCTAAATTAAGATCACCCTCGCCAGATACTAAAAAATATTAACAAAAATGAATAAATAGCTAAAATAAAATTATATGAAATAGAATATTGGAACAAAAAGGTTTAAGGCTCTAAAGAGATCAGTATTGGATAATTTTGTATTTTTACTGTAATCTTAAAAGTATCTTGTATGATATTTATATTTTAGGTAAATATATAGGTATAAAATTTTATTAAGAATATTTTTAGGTAGTTTACTCATTAAATAAACTATACTTCTGATTTAAATAAGAAAAAATGTGTGAAATTTTTGGCACTATCAGGTCATTTTGTGTGTTATTATTTTATTTATTGATGATTAGTGTTTTAATTTACCTCCACTGTTATTAGTCCTTCTTTGGTGACCTTCTGATTCACTAAAATCGCCATTAGCCTGTTGGTAATTTGTCAATAGCTCTTTTACATGATTGTCGCCAACTGAACCAGAAGAATTACTCTAAAAATTGCCAAAAAAAATCAATAAAAATCGACTTTGATCGATGAATCCCATTCAAATCGGAATATCGATTCTTAAAAAATCTTAAATAATGTGTTTATTTTTGTAAAGTGTCATGCCCTCTAACGGACAAACTAAGCACTTTTTTAAGAGGTAAAAGGTAAATTGTGTCCAATGAACTTATATTGAATCCAAAAATAAGTAGTAGTTCTATGCATGTTCTATGTCCACCTTTGAATAAGAAGATTAAGGAAGGAGCATATCAAAAATCTTAGGTACACCGCGATGGGCCTTAAATATGGCCGACTTAAATTCCGGTTTATCAGTGCCGTTCTAATTTTATTTAAAAAATGTAAAACTATGATGTAGGGTAGGTGTGGGGTAGGCTCAATAATTTGTTATTTTATTTTACGTTGTGAATAAATGTTGGTAGTTATTAAAATTGTTATAAAAATATATAATTCTAATAAAAATAGATAAGTTATAATAAGTATTTATTAACACAAACATCCGATACGCTACTGAAGCAGGTAAGTCAAATTAACGTATCAAAATTCTTTGACATCTGATCTTTGACAAGTAGTAAATAAAAGCTAAAATGCAAGAAAATACATAATTTAGTTAATTTAAGTGAATTTCATAAATGATCGGTTTACTACACGTATGTATATTATATAGTCACTTACTAGCGAAAAGTTGTTCCATTATTTCACTCAATTTTTGCCGAGATCTACCGCACGCTACACAACCAACTATTTTAGAGTCTTTTTCGATAAATCGCGATAATGTCACTGTTAATTTAAGTTCTGCCACAATTTCCATCTAGATTTACTACCCTTATACAACTATCAGTAGTAGAATAAATAATAAATAACATAAAATAAGCTCCGCAAAGACTGAGAAATCCACAAAATTTCAAATCAAATTCAAATGTGTCAAATGAATCGTCAAACAGAACTGTCAAGAATCCCCACCCTAGAGAGCTTTTATGGTGGCTTTTCCGCCCACCATGCATGAATACATGGATAGCATTATGCTCCTTCCTTAGTCTTCTTATTCAAAGATGTCCACCGAATATTTAGACAATCTGTATTAGGGTGATTCAAAAAAAAAATTCTTGCAAACAGGCTCAAAAGTTTCAATTTGACGCAAAAAGATACCCCTTAAAATTTGAGCCCTTAATATTAATATTAAGACTGCCCACATCACGTTTTTCCATTTTCCATAAGAATACCATGGAAAAATGTTGTTCTGCACCTCATGAATTTTATTGCTAGCCTGTCATGTGTCATAAAAAAGATTATTTTGTAGAGACAACTAAATTTAAGATAAACATGAATTTTTGGGTGATTTGTGCCAATAAAACCATTAAATTTGCTGTAATGCATCAAAAACCTTAAAATTTGCGATGAATTGACCTTTGGCCTCAAATAACTCTTAAACTATTAGGTTTCTCGAAAAATCAGAAGAGACCTTTATTGTTGAACGTTCAATTCTCTACTAAAATAAAATTCATAAGGTGCAGAACAAAATTGTACCATGATATTCTTATGGAAAATAGAAAAACGTGATGTGGGCAGTCTTAATATTAAGGGCTCAAATTTTAAGCGGTATCTTTTTACGTCAAATTGAAACTTTTCAACCTGTGTGCAAGAACATAAAAAAATATTTTTTTGAATCACCCTATGTGTATACAGAAAATTAATTAAGGAGAAAATCTGTGGTACTAAGGCAAAACCCGATATGTTAACATTATCTCCCTATTGAGATATTAAACACAGAAATCGCCTTTTTTGAAGTAACACTTCTTTCCGCGCGGTGGAAGTAAAGATTCAAGGCCCTGACACACGAGATAGCGAGACGGCCGTGACACACGAGCTAGTGGTAACGGCTCAGAAATACGTAGTGACGCGACGTGTATTTGTGAGCAGTCCACGTCTTTATCAAAAATATTGATATTTTAATGCAAATTTCGTGAGAGTGAATCAAATTATTTATTATTTATTAGTATAAAACTATTTATTACACGTAAAAAAACTAATTTTCACGCGGAAAAAAATATTTGTTACAAGTAAAAACTATTTTTCACGCGTAAAAAACTATTTGTTACAAGTAAAAACTATTTTTCACGCGTAAAAACTGTTTTTACGCGTAAAAAACTGTTTTTTACGCGTAAAAAACTATTCTTAACGCGTATAAAACTATTTGTTACAAGTAAAAAACCAATTTTCACACGTAAAAAAACTATTTGTTACAAGTAAAACCTATTTTTCACGCGTAAAAACTATTTTTAACGCGTAAAAAACTATTTTTTACGCGTAAAGAACATTTTTAACGCGTGTAAAACTGTTTGTTACAAGTAAAAACTAATTTTCACACGTAAAAAAACTATTTGTTACAAGTAAAACCTATTTTTCACGCGTAAAAACTATTTTTACGCGTAAAAAACTATTTTTTACGCGTAAAAAACTATTTTTAACGCGGATAAAACTGTTTGATACAAGTAAAAAACTAATTTTCACACGTAAAAAAACTATTTGTTACAAGTAAAACCTATTTTTCACGCGTAAAAACTATTTTACGCGTAAAAAACTATTTTTTACGCGTAAAAACTATTTTTAACATGTATAAAACTGTTTGTTACAAGTAAAAAACTAATTTTCACACGTAAAAAAACTATTTGTTACAAGTAAAACCTATTTTTCACGCGTACAAAAACTATTTTTTACGCGTAAAGAACATTTTTAACGCGTATAAAACTGTTTGTTACAAGTAAAAAACTAATTTTCACACGTAAAAAAACTATTTGTTACAAGTAAAACCTATTTTTCACGCGTAAAAACTATTTTACGCGTAAAAACTATTTTACGCGTAAAAAACTATTTTTTACGCGTAAAAAACTATTTTTAACACGTATAAAACTGTTTGTTACAAGTAAAAAACTAATTTTCACACGTAAAAAACTATTTGTTAAACCTATTTTCTAAAAAAATCTGTAAAACCTATTTTTCATGCGTAAAAAACTATTTTTTACGCGTAAAAAACTATTTTTAACGCGTATAAAACTGTTTGTTACAAGTAAAAAACTAATTTTCACACGTAAAAAAACTATTTGTTACAAGAAAAACCTATTTTTCACGCGTAAAAACTATTTTACGCGTAAAAAACTATTTTTTACGCGTAAAGAACTATTTTTAACACGTATAAAACTGTTTGTTACAAGTAAAAAACTAATTTTCACACGTAAAAAAACTATTTGTTACAAGTAAAACCTATTTTTCACGCGTAAAACCTATTTTTCACGCGTATAAAACTGTTTGTTACAAGTAAAAAACTAATTTTCACACGTAAAAAAACTATTTGTTACACGTAAAAAGCTATTTTTTACGAGTAAAAAATATATTTTTAATTTATTACTCTTTCAACATTTCAAACTACACTTTTTCAAACGTGTCATTCAAATCCATCAATTTAATAGCTGTTAGTAAGAAATTTAACTTCAAATATCCGCATATAGTGCACACATAATTTTTTAGCCGACCATACCAATAGGTTTGGTAGGCTATTAAGATCGACAAAAAAAAGTTTTTTTAATTTCACTCAAAATGAGTTATTTGGGTCATAAATGGCCTAAATACAAAATATTTTCAGGTGTCTGTCTGTCTGTATGTTCGTCTGTCTGTCTGTCCGTATGTAACACGATAACTCAAAAACAGCTAAACCGATTTTAACCAAATTTGGCACAAAAATACTGTGGCATCCGAGAATCTGGCCATTAGTGAGGGTGGGAGATTGCTAAGGGGGTATGGGAGGGGGTTAAAAAATTTTAAAAATCGTAACTCCAAAATTACAGTAGCTAGCAAAACGCGGTTTTCAATTTAAGATTAGGAATAATATTTGCAACAAAATTTGTAATAACATCAAAATCAGTCAAAGTCGCAGTTTTTGAGATAAAAAAAATTGGAAAAATTCCTTTACTTTGAAACTAAAAGAACTGCCTACCAACTTTTTATAAACATATTTTAGTATGGGCGGCTATACGTGCCTTCCAGCGCCAATTTTTTAAAATGAAACAAGAAGTAAGAATATATATTTTTTATTATCTGACTAAATAAAAAAAAATAAAGCATTGTTATTTAACAGTGGTTATGATATTTTTGACGATATTCAAACTTTTCCGATAAAATGTGTCAAAAATTATAAAAAAAATCAAAATCAATTTTTGATTTTACTAAAGTTGCATACGTAAAAATTATGACTCTTTCTTAAAATTCGTCCACCCCAGCAATAAGAAAAAAAAGCAAAAATTGTGATAGTAGAAAAAATTTGGACAAAATACTATACGATCGAAAAAAAGGCGTCAGAGATGGCTTTGAAATGAAGTCTCTGTCATTTTGTATGTAAAATTATATGCGGAATTTCAATGATCGTCATTTCCAAGCCAACTGGACGACACACATTTTTTTTGTGGATAATACTTAATATTATACCGTATGATCGAATAAAAATGGCGTCAGCAATGGATATGTAATGAAGATCGCTGTCATTTTATATGTAAAATTATATGGGAAATGTCATCGATTGTCATTTCCAAGCCAACTGGACGCCATTTTTTTTCGATCATACGGTATTATTGTATTATTTATTAAAAATTCATATCACATATTAAATAAACCATCTACAAAAATAAAAGGCAACATAAATCAAATTAAGAATTGAAAGGCATTCAAAAACGGATATTTAAAAAATGTATCATATGATCGAAAAAAAACGGCATCAGAGATGGCTGAGAAATGGCAATCGGTAAGAATTTTGGCGAGGTCAAGCTCTAGACGTCATTTACTATATTATAAATAGTCTAAAAATTAACACTAATTACAGAAAGATTAAAAAAGAATAGAACGTTTTCAGACACAGAAATCTATTTCCAAAAAAATCTTTTTTCTCGAATTTTAAACTACACCATTTAAAAATAATTTTTACTCAATATAAAAATAAAGAAGAGCACGAACCAAGTAAATGGCGTCTAGGGCTTGACCTCGCCAAAATTATGAGCCGTCTTTGACGCCGTTTTTTTTTTCGATGGCATAGTATTGAAAAAACTACACATAGAGAAAGGTCAGAGAAATCATATAAAAAGTATGTTTAGAATTTAACTTGGAATCTTAAACTGTAATAATATACAGGGTGTTGTATTTAAAATAACAAAGTTAAGATCTAGTTCCGGTAAAACCGGAAGTAATATTTTAACTAAATAGCAAACAAAAATTAATACATTTCTAAAGTTTAAGATTTAATATGTGTATTTTTGCTATATCAATTGAATTTATTCACACTTGTAGGACATCCTGAATAATAAAAAATAGAACATAAGTTTGCTACTTACGCATGCGTCATCTTCGTCCCAAACCGACATAAAGTACGGTAAAAACGAAACATTTTTTTCTCTACTAACAGCCTCTGGTAATTGTGGAGCTTCATTCAAAATAGCGGCCAAATTCACTTTTGGAACAGTGGGAGTATCTACAGTGATGACTTCCACTTCGTTGCCCTCGATCTCGGCTGTAGCGCCTGGGGAGTGGAGTCTACCCACTGCACCACCTAGGCAATGTATTTTTTAATAAAAAAAGTTAAAAAAAAAATAAAAAAGTTACTCTCCGGCCGGGAATCGAACCCGGGTCTCCCGCGTGACAGGCGGGGATACTTACCACTATACTACCGAAGACTTGTGAAATTTTAGTGTAATCTACTATTTATTTAAGGCAGTAATAGATTTACTTAAAATTTTACAGCATTTTAACCATTGAAAACGGTAAATAAAGGCTTAAATAATCATTTTCTTTGATAAAATAAAACGAAACATTAAATTTCAGCATGGTTATAACCTAAAACCACTTTTAAAATAAAAAACATAAATTTGTTTTTTAAGGAGAAAAAAAACGCTTTTTAAAAATTTAAGAAACTAACTTAAATTTACTAATTCTTCGAACTGCCTTATTAATAGAAATAAACACTAAACAATATCATATTATATAAGTATAAATATTTCAAAAATTTCAATTATTTTATTCATTAAAAACTAAAATAATCAAAGATCATTTTTTTTATGTTCCTGCCTACTTGATCATCTTTTTCTTTCAGAACCCAATAGATATTAAATCTTAACTTTATTGTAGCATAAAATTACTTCTACAATAAAAAATATTGTTGTTTGTATGTTATTTACATCACTTAAAATTAAAATATAAATAGCTGAATTATTGTTAAAAATAAATCAATTATTTTTGTTCAGTTCAAGAGTTCAAATATTTTATTACGAAATGTCAAATCCACATGACCAATGTTGTCAGATCGCAAAAAATTACTATTTGAAAAATCTCAATTTCAATTCAAACACAAAAAACGATCTCTATTTCCTCCAGTATTTAAAGAAAAATGTAATACAATAGAAATATTGCTTTAATTTTACTCCAATAGAAAAACACACCTTTTAAATTTAAAATCATAAAAAACGTGCCAAAAAAAATCTGGATTTACTTGAAAGTAATCTTGGCAACCCTGCAATGATTTCTGATTACAAAAAGTTAACCTCAAAAGATAAAATCGAAACCGATTGAAAACTGAAAATGAATCATTATAAAAATGTAATTTTAACTTAAGAAATAAATACCATGAGTGCTAGATATACATAAATAAGTACCCATCAGGATACTAATATGAGCAGTTTAGTAAACAAACCAACCCCACCAAAGAAAGAACTAAAATTAGCCGATCATGTAAAATACGAACATTTGATCGCAGGCACGACTGCAGGAGTTACTTCAACCCTTATTTTGCATCCTATGGACGTAGTGAAGATTAGGTTCGCTGTAAACGACGGTATACATTCAACCCCAAAATATTCAGGAATATGGAATGCCTTTTCAACCATCTACCGAATGGAAGGCTTCAGAGGGCTTTACAGAGGCGTAACTCCGAACGTTTGGGGTGCCGGAGCCTCTTGGGGGCTGTATTTCCTGTTTTACAACTCGATAAAGAACTTTATACAAGGCGGAAATGTTAATACACCCCTAGGACCAGGTTACCACTTGCTAGCGGCTAGTCAATCAGGTTTGGTTACCTTATTTGTAACAAATCCGATCTGGGTTGTAAAAACCAGGTTAATTTTCACAGATTTTGTATTTTTAATTATGTTTATGCTTTATTTAATTTAAGATTATGTCTTCAAGTTGGCGAAAACCAAAAATACAACGGCACTATAGATTGTTTATCAAAAATATACAAATCTGAAGGTATCGTTGGTTATTATCGAGGTATCTTGCCTGGAGTTTTTGGTGTGTCACATGGGGCTGTTCAATTCATGGTGTATGAAGAAATAAAGAATCAGTATCAATATTTTTATAATAAACCTATTAGTAGTAAATTAGGTAATAATATTATGGGGTGACAATGAAACAATTGCACAGACTGCCATTTTATTGTAATAGTGTGATCAACTATATTTTTTTTAGGAACTCTAGAATATTTACTGTTTTCTGCTGTATCTAAAATAGTAGCAGTGATAACAACTTATCCCTATCAAGTGATAAGGGCGCGATTACAAAATCAACTATATTCCTATGATGGGGCTGTTGACTGTGTTAAGAGAACTTGGAAGTTTGAAGGTTGGCGAGGATTCTACAAAGGTATGGGCACTAACTTGTTGAGAGTAACTCCGGCAACCATGATTACATTTGTTACTTACGAGAACATCTCTCATATGTTATTAAAATACAATAAAAATGTCTAGATTCAAAATTTAGATGACCAATGTAAATAGTTACATATTTTGTGTTTAAATCTAAGCAAAAAGATACTATTTTTAAGTTTTTTGGTTTATTTTTATTCAAGTTCCCCATGTGATATAAAATAAATGGCATCAAAGTAGGCATAGAAATGCCAATTGACAATGAATTTCTGGGGATCAATCTGAAGTGTCAGTTATTAAAAATTGACAAAACATTGTCAGAAACTATAGAGTATGTTACTAGGGTGTGGTTCAAACTTGCAGCATTAAAATAGTTTGAAAAAATGTTGACTATTAATTTTTTTATGTCAATTTTTAATAAATGAAGTCTCTAGGGTTGATCTGACAAAAATTATCATGATTCTCATTTTAAAGGCCACTGTGTCACTGTTTTTTTCTGGATCATACAGTGTTCGAAGTACCTTTGTTATATTTTTTGTTTTAATATTGTTATACTGCTCCCATATCTTTGTTAATAAATACTGTTTTTGTTTATTATTAATTGAATTTTATTTATGCCACTTACCGTATGCGCCATTATTGGCATTTCTCTCATCAATTGATAAACTGTTCAAATTTGAAGAGACTGAGTCTTCCAAACTACCACTTTCTTCGTCATCTGAATTTTTTTCAATAAAATTTGTGATCATATTGCAGTTTTCTTCAGCTGAAACATGATACAACATAAAAGCAAGCTAGAACAATGTTTAAAAAACTTATTTAACTTACGCAAAAATGCATTATTATCATTTGTATCTCCCCAATCGTCTGCTTCAGTACACCAATCAGTACTCTCAAATTTTATACCTCCAGCAGTGGGTTTTTGTGTATCTAAAGCAAAAGATTCTTCTACTTCTACCCGGAAACATTTCCAGCTACAAAGTAAATAAAAAATACAGACTTTTAAAGAGTATTAGAGAATCTTTACCTTTCACTATGATTCCAGCAATTAGGGTGAATGCAGGCGAATAAGTACAGGGTACGGTGGTACCTAGAGCCTTCTAAAGGTGCGTACACTTGAACTACTAACTTAAGTGGCAACTGGCACAACTTACAAGTAAGAAACTTATCAAGTTTGGGAATACTCACAGGCAAGTCCTAAAAATATGAAATAGAACACATCACACTAAGGATAATGGCTCAGAATGAATTAAATGTATATTGTACACTCATATAATAACTAAAATTACAATTATTACCTCACATTAGGTATTAAATGTTTACATTTTCGAATTTTAAATTACTTAAAAAAGCAAATCTGGGTTATGTTTACTTACAGGCTCTCCTCCGATTTTATTTGTGGTATAATTTACTTGTCCCTTATTTTTCTCAGTTATCGGATCATCCTCGAATCCTAATAACACTTTATTCTGATAATATGCCATTATTTCCCTTTGCTTTAAAGGCAAAGCAAATAAATTTAAACACCTTTATTTTTATTGTCTTTTATTTAGCTATATATGCAACCATTAAAACAGAAGATAAAATTATTGATCTCCCGTTTTGATTCATTTATTTTATAATTAATTATTAAAAAATATTCCCTGGTCCCTTGGCCCATCCTTGGCCCTCTGGTGTTATTGAAAGTCCTTGGGTATGTTTTTCAGTACTCCATATATTTATTTATTGAAAAAATATACTCTTTTAAATGATAACAGTTAAAAATTGTACATAAAATTTATTTGATATTTCAAATTATACCATTTTTAAAAAGAAATAATATATTTCTAATACTTTTAATTAAATTTTGATTACCTGTACTATTTATTTTAATTCCAATATTTCTAAATATTTTAAAATCAAATATATTCTTCATCTATTTCGTTGGTTGCATATCGCACATTTATTTTTATTTAAAAATTTAAGATTCCGGAAGTTGTAATAAAAAACTGAAATGATTTAATTTCTTTTAAATTTTAGAATTTATTATACTACCTGCCTGTTTGAACTGGATTTTAAAATAAAGGTATTTTTTTCTAATTAAAATTAGATAACAATTTTATATTAAATAATGTTATAATACATAATTGGAAAATAGATACTATCAAATAATTATGTTGTTTAGCTATTATTCATGAAAGAATTTTAATCTAAATGACATTTGAACTTATAGTTGTAGCTGAAAGTGTTATGTTTCTCTCATATCGCGAATGTAAAATAGACAAATTCTTTTTCCTATTAATTGTAAAATAGTTTTCACGGCGGCTGCGCCGATTTGTATTATGCTAAATTGTGAATGGCGGTCCCGCTAAACAATTTCTCGACGTTGCCAAATCAGACCTATTAAAAATCTTTAAAAAAATCTTGGGCGAATTGATTTGGAATGTGTTATCCGAGATAAATGGGCGATTTGTATTAAGTATTGTTTATTTAACGAGCGTTAATAGTAATAGTGTTTTAAGGATATCATTAATGAAAAGAAATTGTCTTTATCAAAAATTATATACAGGGTGTTCCAAAAATACTTTTGGAAAATTTTATTTTTCAAAAAAGTCCAAAATAACCGAGTTAATTAAGTTTGAAAAAAAAAAATTATTTAAAAAAAAAATTGAGAGCCACAGGATTTTTTCTGTATTTGCTTCCTTTTTAAGTGCCGTAACCATAGAGTAAAGCCCTAATCATGGCAAAATCAGAGATTAAGAAATTATACCGTGGTAAAGTTTGCGGTGTTCTAAAAAGGCAGTTCTAAAAAGTTTTTCTAAAATATACAGGAAAATTTAAAAGAAAATGCACGATTTTCAACATTTTTTTTTGCGGAAAAAACCTCCTAGACGTGTTAATTTAGACGACATATACCACCCCTAAAAATATTTGCACTTATTTAAGACTAACCCTGTATTTTGTACAGGGATCAAAAAAGTGTGGGCGGGCGAGTAATTTTTTTAAATGGAATATGTAATTTCCATTTTATTGCATTTTTTTAAGTCCTTTCCGATTATTTTACATAATCCTAGGAAATCATTAAAGTGGTTTTGAGAATAACAGAAATAAATTAATAAATAAAAAAAATGCACCATAAATGTAATAATTAAAGTAATACTAACTGACGTTATGAAATCACAACAACGCTCGGTATATACTACAGTTGGTTTGTTCTTACTTTATTCTAAATATTTTACTAGTAAATTGTACAGGGTGGTCAAAATTTCATGTCAAAATTGATAAAATATAAAGTAATTTTTCGTTTTTTTTAATGGAACACCCTATACAGGGTGAGTCTTAAATAAGTGCAAATATTTTTAGTGGTAGTATATTTCAACCCCAGAAACACGTCTATAAGTTTTTTTTACAATTTTTTTTTAAATTTGGTATTTTAAAAAAAATGGAGTTTTTTAATTTTTAGTTAAAAACATAATATCTTCATAATATGGCAACATAGGTAGTAGATTAAATTTAAAACCTGCAACATTCATTCCAGTGGCCCCGTATATTTATGAAAGTACCGCATTATTGAAAGAAACGGCGTCCAGTTGGCTGGGAAATGACGATCGATGACATTTCCCACATCAATTTACATATGTATAAAATGACAGTGTACTTTCATAGATTATTAACACCCTGTATATTACTTTTTAGAATGAATTCTTTTTAAGTTAGAGAAATAAACTTTACTAAAAAATGTTATTGCCTTCTTAAATTTATACAGGGGTGCCAAAAATTGCTGATCTATTTTAAGGATTTATTTTATATAAAAACTTCGGTATTTCAAATGCAACACCCTGTATATTTTTAAACAAATCAAAGCAGATTCAAATGCTCTTTCAAACTATATTAGGGTTTCCTATACCTATCTAGCTCAGATTTTGAATAAAGAGCCATTTTTCAATAAAATGGCAACCAAGAGGGTTAGTGTCGTCATGGCAAGTTTCTACTGACAATTAGGAGCTATTTTCAATAGCGATGGGAACTATCGAATGAATTAGAGTATCGAATGGTTACTGAATGAATGATTTCAACTATCGAATGGTTTTATTCGAATAAAATCATTCATTCATTTGTATACTAAAGCATATGTAACAACCTCGCCGTGCGACTAAATGGTTATAGTTGAGCCACGACTATCGAATGCTTTTGATAAATGAAATTTAGTATTCGTTTGATTTTTGTGTGTGTCAGTGCATTATTAGTTCTTCCAAATTTTTATAACTTCACCTTATAAATACTGTGCTATTTTTGCGTTTATTAAAATATTTAAAATACTAAAATAGTAGTTTTTTTTAATTGACGTTTTTGTGAGTGTGCAGGTGTCAAAATTTTTCCGAAAATTTGTGTGATTTTCCGTAACCCGATCTTTCAATTATTTTATTTTATATGGTATATATGGTCTATTTTTTAATGGGAAATTTTGAGAAGTAGCAATTTTTAAGAGAGATGAGATGAACTTGAAGTTTTACACGTGCCAATTAAAAAAAAAAAGTTAACGATGTTTGTATTTTGTTTATGCTAATTCTCTTACATGTAGTTTTTTGCGAAGAAATATTTCATTTATTTTTTAAAGTAAATGCCAGTAAAAGTAAATATTATTTTTAAATAATAATATAAAGTACCTAATATAAATAATTTTGATTTCTAATTTTTCATTTATATTTTCCTTCCATTACACTGCATGCTTAGAAAATTAATAAAAAATGTTTATATTTCATGATTTTAAAGTTTGTTGTTAATATAACAAATTAGCTCTGTAATTATTATTATTTAATAAACCAAGGATGCCAAAAAATTTAAAGACTATATTATTTTTAAATAGGATCTAATATAAATAATTTTGACATCTAATTTGTTGTTTATATTTTGCTACTACGTAAAAAAAATGTTTATATTAAATTATTTTAGATTTTGTTGTTAATAGGTATAACAAATTATTACTGTTATTATTATTTTTATTAAACCAGTGTTTGTTTAAAAACATTAAAAATCATTTTCCTACATCCAAAATATTTTATTATCTAACCTAACCTAACCTAACCTAACAACAGAATATTAATAAAAAAATGCAAAATATATAGACATACTATCCCTAACTAACTAAAGCCAAACAATAATATTCTTTGCTAATATCAACTAATACCAATATATGGCAACAGCGCCCTTCATAATGTATTTTTTGTGTAAATACTAGCACCTCAATAAAAAAAATAATGTGTCCTTATCTTTATATGGCTCCGCAAAAAATCAAAGATGCCGGCTTCTTTCTAGCATTGCCACCGACCGCTGTCGGGTTTCTCGGAAAGAAACCTACGTCGCCGGGCGACAACTAAAATCCAGTTAATATTTTATTATAATCGATCCTGACGAATAAATGAATTTCATAAAAGAATGAATTTTATAAATGAATGGTTTTTGCTGCCGAATTACTAGAATACAATATTTCAAGACAGATGACGCACCTATTCGATAATTTTTGTTCGAATAGTTTTCAACGAATGTTTTTTTACTAGCTATCGAATTATTCGAATGAATTGCAACTATCGAATGTTTCGATAGTATTCATTCGATAGTTCCAACTACTAATTTTCAAAATCAAAATTAGGTTATAAACTTTATTTATTTAAATTTATACCAGTTTACTTTTATTTAATTTACCTACAATAACTTTAATAAATAAATATTTATTAAATATGTACCTATTTGTTATTCTATCAAGAAAAACGAACTGAAAAAAAAAACTAAAGTAAACTGGTATAAATTTAAATAAAGTCCATAAACTAATTTCGATTTTGAAAATAGCTCCTATAATGGTCACTAGAAAATTGCCATGGCGACACCAGCCATCTTGATTGCCATTTTATTGAAAAATTGCTCTTTATTCAAAATCTGAGCTAGATAGATATAGGAAACCTCAATATAGTTTGAAAGAGCGTTTGAATCTGCTTCGATTTGTTGTAAAAAATACAGGGTGTTCCATTTGAAATAACGAAGTTTTTATATAAAATAAATCCTTAAAATAGATTAGCAATTTTTGGTACCCTTGTATAAATTCAAGGAGGCAATAACATTTTTCAGAAAAGTTTATTTCTCTACCTTTAAACTCAGCACAAGAATTAATTCTGAAAAGTAATGTACAGGGTGGTCGAAATTGGTCTGTTTTAACAGAGAAACCCTATTTCCTGACTAGATAGCGGAATAATAAAATTTTGTAAAAACGTCCTTAATGCACTTTTTTGAGCACAATCCAGTGGCGTAGTCAGTTTTTTTCTATACTTGCTCTTTTTGTCAGATATAATAAAAAATATAATTTTTTAAATGGAAATCATAGTTGGCTATGAACTTAAAAAAATGCTGAGGTTTAACCCTTTCCAACAATATAAAGTTATGGGTATTTAATTCTAAGAATGAGAGAAATATTAGGTTTTTTTATCTTTGTATCGAAGCGGGCCTTGATTTTGTGTTGACTTAGTTGCCTAATTATTTTTATCACAATTTAATATTCTATATTATTATTTATCCGCATAATTAAAGACTTTTGATAAGGTAATGTGAACTATTAAATGGAGAATTTAGAGAGAATCGGATTGGAACAAGGGGCCCCATATCTTAGCGTGCTAGGTCCTGTGATTTTACTTCTTTCGACTTCTTAAGGGGAAAATTAAAAGACGAATCATTGGGACGAGAGAAGAATTGCAGAAGGCTACTAGACAAGCTCTTGGACTTATCACACCAGTTCGCTGTAATATATCGCTGTAACTCTGTGCGCAAAAGATGTTTATTCAACAAGGTGGTGCTCTGTTTGAACATCTTAGATGATTTTTTTTAGAAAACTATATTCGTCACCCCAAAAATAGTCTTTTTAGTTATGTTTTTTGTTTTTTTTAAGGCCCACTTCGATACAAAGATAAAAAACCCAATATTTCTCTCATTCTTAGAAATAGATACCCATAACTTTATATCGTTGGAAAGGGTTAAACGCCAGCATTTTTTTAAGTTCATAGCCAACTATAATTTCTATTTAAAAAATTATATTTTTTATTATTTGTAACAAAAAGGGCAAGCATAGAAAAAATCTGACTACGCCACTGGATTGTGCTTAAAAAAGTGCCTTAAGAACGTTTTTACAGAATTTTATTATTCCGCGAAATAAAAAAGTTATGGAGAATTTTCCAAATGGTAAAAAAATCAAAAAGACCTCGTATCTCAGTTGGTAGTGAAAATATCAACAGGCGGTTTATGCCATTAAACGTGTCTCAGAAATCGAGCCCATGACATCTATGTCGGTTTTGCTCTATCTAGTCAGGAAATAGGTTTTCTCTGTTAAAACAGACCAATTTTGTGTGTGTGTGTGTGTGTGTGTGACCACCCTGTACAAGGTGTTAATAATCTATTTTATTGTAGCATGCATATTTAAATATCTTTAAATATCTCGAAAACCAAAGCTTGTAAACATATTTAACCCTCGCATTGAATGCCTTTTTTGGGCTCAAGAATCCAAATATGAAATAAAATACGGGATGTTCTATAAGAAAAAATATAACTTTGGTGTGGATCTTAGTTCTGACATACCCTGTACATTTCAAAATAATTTTAAATTATGCACATTGCCTCCCCACATATACCCATAAAATATTTTGTTTCTACATTTTTCCGTTTTCGTATAACGAGGTGAATGGGGTGTGCCACTCTGTATTATTATTACTATATATTACTATTCCATAGTGATTTTCCATTTTGAAACAGAAATCTAGAATTATGTAACAATAAAAACAATTAGCATGGGTATTATGGGTGTGTCATCACTTTATACATATCGTAAATAAACTTAAATAGTTATTAATTCATTGACCGCAATATCACAATAAATATTTCCCCAAACCTACCGAAGAATTCCCAACTCCGACAACGCCGCCACCAATTTCCATCGCTTCCCCAGCGTTCCGCCAACATCGCCAGTGTAGTTCCGAGTTGCGTCACGCGCTGGTTTCCCCTCGCGGTGCGTGCGTTCCTCAATTCCCGTGTGTCGTGTGCGTTTTTATCGCTTTTTCTTCCCTGATTATAATCGGCCGTTCCGTTCCCAGTGTCTACCGCTCCCAAATGACTACTCATTTATGGCTATGCGAACATTTCAACTCTGCCTTGTGTTTGCAGTAGGATATTTCGTTCAGCGAGCCTCAGGTAACGTTTGAAAACAAGTGCCCAACAGCAGCAGCTTTGTATACATTATTCAACATGGCGGTTGTTGTTTGTTATGTGTGTGTGGTGTTACGTTGCGTCCGATTTCCGGGGTTTTTTACCTCGCGACTCGCTCAAAACACTTTCCATCGGGTTCTATGCAAAGAACCGGATCGTTTCCAGCTTAAAATCGACCTCTATCGGTCAAGCACCGAGCTGTCAACTCGAAAACAAGGCTTTTTTACCTGAATATCCGTGTGTGTTTATCTACGACGTAAGGCTTATGTTGTGTGTGGCCAGTGATTTACGCACATAGCGCGCTTCTCCCAAACAGGAAGTAGCGTAATACCTGTTGTTAATTAATTGATACGCAATAACAATGTGTTTGCGTAATTATTTTGGGTTGATGAACGCTGGGTTTGACTAGGAAAATCCTGGTTTTCGTGCAATTTATCGCCTTGTTTACTAAACAAAACATAAATCAATGGTACTGGCGTGGGAAATGGTCATTTTTATGTTTTATTTCTGGTATTTTTATATATTTCTGATCATAATTATTGTTTACGATTTATTTTTAGGTATTTACGTACCTAATAGGGAGGTACTGTAGTATACCGGTACTGTTTATTTATTTTTTATTAAAAATGTTACGGGTTTAAAATATTTCAAAAATGATTTAAATTTTATTTTAAATATCGTCTTTGACAAAGTAATTCAGTGTTTATCGCTATCAAAAAACTATAGTCGAAGAAACCAAATAAAATAAAACCAATCTCAAATAAAAAACCCATTGGTACTTAGGTATTTATTAAAGCAAAATTTATGTATAGCTCAGCCTATTTGTAGGTACTAAATTTATTAATACATATTTATTATAAGCGAGATTTATAAGTTTATACCTATTATATTTATTAAATAATTATTAGTTTATTGACAGGGGCGGATACAGGAATTTATTTTAGGGGGGGGCCAAAATAAAAAGTAATGTAGAATATGCTTTTTAGGGTGCCATTTTTAACCCAAAAGCCTAATATTTAACACAATTTACAGGTTTTAGGGGGGCCTGGGCCCCCCCTCTGTATCCGCCACTGTTTATTGATATTGCTTAAATATTTTTCAGTTTTTTACTGTTTGAGATATATCTCTCTACCTAATTAAATATGAATATGAATGAATATTTATTTGTTGAAATAGCCTTTTCTTCAAAACTAATCATATTACAATTCTCTAAATTGCTTGATGTATACAAGGTAATTCAAAACTAGACAAGATTTTTTCCGCATTGGCGTGTATGATCACAGGTATGATCGAAAAAAACGGCGTCCAATTGGCTGGGAAATGATAATGACATTTCCAATATAAATTTACATATAAAATGACAGCGATCTTGATTTCATAGCCATCGCTGACGCCGTTTTTATTCGATCATACGGTATTTAATATGAACCCCCTATTTTTTATAATAAATCAACTGAATCCATCTTTATGTATTGTTAAGCAGTCCCTAAAGGTACTCAAATTCGATATTTTTTTAATAATCAGTTATTTTAAAATAAAACACAATATTTATCATCCTGTATACTTTTATTAATAGGCGATTGTCAAAAGTGTATTAAGGCAAATTAAGTAATTGCACTATGATTTTTTTACTTGACAAATTAATAAGTATGATTTGTTTTGCTTGTGTAGTTGAAAATATGAAAATAATTCTTAAATGCCATTAATTTGAATAAAAAAATAAAAACTAACTAAGCGTCTTTTAATTTATATGATAAAATACAGGGTGTTTCATTTGAAATAAAATTAAGATTAATTAATAATAAGAAATCGAGTTTAGACTCTGTGTACAGGGTGTCCCATTTTTGTGTGTTTTTTTTTTGTTTATGAATACAAAGATGCGGTTTTCGCTTTTCGCATCGTTTTGCTTACTTCTATGGAACTAAAGATCCTACACACAGATTTGTCCTAGCCTTCTTGTTTTCTGAAATACAGGGCGTATTTGAAAATGTCGCATCTTATATACCGGGTGCGTCTCAAAAGTATAGAGACCTTATAACTTTTTTATTTTTTCAAATAAAAAACGAGATTTGGTATTTTAGTATAAAATGACATAAATTGGAATTGATTGACGTATTCAATTGTTTTGGGTCACTGTTTCACCGGAAATGACTACAACTTTTGATTTTTAAATGACACCCTCGGTGTTTTTTACTTTATTCGATAGAAAATGACACTTATGATATGAAAATGACACACATATGTCAACTTCTCGCTTAAAAAAAAATTGAATTTTAAATTTCAATCTAGAGTGCCATATGGCTATGTTAAAAACACTAACTTTTTAATCAAGGAGCTTTGGAAAAATAGATTTGATCGTCTTATGTTTTTAGTTTTTTAGTGTCTTGTCCTGGCAGGTTTAAAAATGGTATTTTTAATAATATCTCAATTTTTTCAAATAGAACGAGAGTGGCTCATTGGCATATTTTTTGGAAAAAGCATTTTTTACGAATAATTTGGTACCACACACCTGGTATTTCGAGTCAAATTGTTGTTCTGAACCGCATGTTACAATTTCAAATAAACCATATGCGGAAATGTCAAAAGTTGACATATAATATCTCATTCTATTCAGAGGGTGATTTTCTATCAAATAAAGTAAAAAAATACCGAAGATGCTATTTAAAAATTAAAAGTTGCAGTCATTTCCGGTGAAACAGGAAGTGACCGAAAACAATTGAATATATATGTACAGGGTGGATCAAATTCGGTGCTTTTAAATGGAAACATCCTTTTCTATAGGAGATAGACGAAAACTAATAACGGTGTCTGGAGCTCAATTTTCACCAAAACCTGATGGTGAAAACCGCACATCAATATCTGTTACCGTTTCGGAGTTACGGGGTGTTTTTCATAATTTTTAACAAATCGCTGTAATTTTTTTGCTATGGAAAATTTTGTATTTCTATGAAAACATTTCCAAAGCACCTTTTTACGTAGAATTTAATGGTTTAAGAATAATTTTTTTAAAATTAATAATTTAAGAGTTATCAACAGAAAAATTGATTTTTTATTTGGGACACCCTCTTAATTTTTAATTAACTGAAAAGAATTTAAAATTACCTTTCCAAAAATATAGCACACTTGATATTTTGTTATAATCCCCTTCGAAATACAGAATTTTTAAAAGTTCGCCTCTTTTAACTAGTAGGCTTTGGATCCCTTATTGATGATATGCCCTTAATGGAACTCGAAAACATATTTTTCCAGCAAGACGACGCACCGCCTCTGAACGCTGAAGTTATCAGCAAATTTTTGCAGACAATTTCAAGAATAATTGAATAGCTAACCAAGATCCCAGCCGTTGGCCGTCGAGGCCGCCTGACTCAGTGCCCATGGATCTAATCCTATGGATATATTTGCGGAGTATAAGTATAATCTAGACAAAAATTCGACACACTTAGCAGTTATGAGAGGATATTTTTCACCCCCACTGAGTTAATGAATTCCGCGAGAAATGTTCAAAAACTGCCCCGTCTGTCCATAACAGAAGACGGTTGATATGTCGAACACCTGTAGCAAAATCTCATGTCTTGGTTTGCTATTTATTTTTATTGTTATTAGATATAGTTTAAATATGTTTATGTTGGTTAAATATATTTCAGTTTTTTTGCATTACAGCCGGTACCGTTCAAAGCCTACTTATTTAAAGCGGGCAAATTTTTATATACTCTATATCTCGAAGAGGAATCGAGCAAAATATTAAGTGTGTTATATTTTTGGAAAGGTAATTTTAATTTCTTTTCAATAAATTAAAAATATACAGGGTGTCCCATATAAAAAATCAAACTTTCTGTTGATAATTCTTAAATTATTAATTTTAAAAAAATTATACTTAAACCATTAAATTCTACGTAAAAAGGTACTTTGGAAATGTTTTCATAAAAATGCAAAATTTTTCATAGCAAAAAAGTTACAGCGATTTATTAAAAATGCATATTTTTGAAAAACACCCCGTAACTCCGAAACGGTAACAGATATCGAATTGCGGTTTTCACTATCATGTTTTTGACAAAAATTGAGCTCCAGACACCGATATTAGTTTTTGTCTATCTCCTATAGAAAAGGGTGTTTCCATTTAAAAGCGTCGAATTTGACCCACCCTGTACACCAAATCTCTTTTTTTATTTGAAAAAATAAACAAGTTATAGGGGTGAGCTACTTTTGAGACGCACCCTGTATTATCAAAAACTGAGTTCCATAGAAGTTTTCATGTACAATCCAGTGGCGTAACTATTTTTTTTTTGAGAGCTGTCATTTTCGAAATATGACCCATTCTTATGTTTTTTTAATGGGACACCGAAGTATATTATTATTTTTTTATTCTATTGATATACTCTATACTTATTCTATTTACTACTTATTCTCATAAAAAATGGATTATTTTACTTTTTAACATACAGTATGTCCCCGGATGGTCTTTTCAAGAGGAAACACTTTTTTATTATTGACATTTTGAAAAAATGCATTCTTCATAAAAAATTTTGCTTGTTCTAAAATGGTTAATCCCGTGTATACTTTTCCAAATTTCCATACGGTTTTAGAGAACATTAAAAAAACATGAAAATACGGATGATTTTTTTTCTAAATGCTAAAAGTTAAAAGGCGTTTTTAAAAAGGCGTAGGTAATAGCATTTTGATTTCATGCTTTGACTTTGTAATTATTAATTTTGATTAACGTCATATTTTTGCTATTGTTAAAGTATCACATCATAAAAGTATTTGGTTAAGGATTTGGACTGTACTATTGCACACTTTGAATAAGAAGACTAAGGAAGGAGCATAATGCTATCCATGTATTCATGCATGGTGGGCGGAAAAAGCATTCTAGGGTGGGGATCCTTGACAGTTCTGTTTGACGATTCATTTGACACATTTGAATTTGATTTGAAATTTTGTGGATTTGTCAGTCTTTACGGAGCTTTTATGTTATTTATTATTTATTC